GCACATTTTAGAGACACTCAAAAAGAATTGCATTAACATAAGGGAGACCAGGCGTTCTCTAGGAAAAAAAAAATAAAAAAGAGAGAAAGAACAAGTCTTGGGGATTTAGGGGTTCTCAGTTGCACCCTCATTGCTAACGTCTCCTCCGAGCTCCTCGTCGCCGAGCTACACTTGGTGCCTCCTCAAAGAGCCTTCTCCCTCAAGGTCAAGCATATCCTCAAAGTCCCCAAGCTTAGCCCCACTCAGGTTAATGATAGGAGTGTCGATGATCGAAGGATCTTAGGGATGCATAGGAAGTGTTAGAGAAAGAAGTCGGAGGGGAAACATTCCTCCTGAATCACCATCGTTAACAGTAATTGGCACTATCATTACCATTGTTTCCCTCGCCTCCTCTACAGATTCCTCTGAGGTCGCCGCCTCAGTACTCAGCTGGACGTATGGTGGTGCCATAAGCTCATTGGCTCCTTATAGGGGCATATAAGCATGCATTGCAAAAAGCTCGGTGTTAGCATCCACCCCATCCACTTGAAGTGCCTCGTTCCAACCCTTTTTGAAGCACTTCGTTTGCCCATCATCGAAGGCTGGGATGAATTGCTCTTGGCACTATTTTTAAATGTCCATGCACAGCGTTCATTCTCCTAACTTCCCCAGCTTTCTCCTCCTACAGCCCTTCCACCTTCGAGGTCAGTGCCGCAAAATTAGCCTTGGCTTCTAGCAACTTGGCCTCCGCAACAAAAACCTTTAACTCGGCCTCCTCCATTCTTCTCATAGCCTCGGCCTCAGACTCCTTGCTTTTGTCCATCTCAAAGGTTAAGGCCTCGACTTTACAGATCAGGTCGACGGTGCTCCTTGTTTGATCGGTGACCATCCTTTCCACTTGACCAATATGGACGTCCTTCTTCTTAAGCTCGGCTTTGGACTTCTCAGCTCTGCTCTAATAAGCCCAAAAACGGTCGATGATGACCCCCAATTATTGGCAAGCTTGGAGAAGAAAAGTTCAGCAAGTGTGAGTACATGGCAGAAAAACATCAAAGAAAAGAAATCTTCAGAAATACTTACCACCAAGTTATGTTGGACCACTCCCTTGACGAGGTGGTTGTCCATATACTCTTCCAAAATCGCCATGTCGGCGTTGAAATACATGGTCCAGCTGACGGCATGGACCACATTAGGGGAGTGAATGATGGAGTCAGACTCTAGAATGGGTTGTCCCCTTCTTGTGACTACTTGGGAGGCTCATTCGACAAGGCTGGGAGGCATCAAGACGTCTTGGCAATGTTTTACTCGGCGCTCAATGGACGGGTCTTCTTCCCGTCCACGATGTTGCATTTGCCGATCGTCGCTCCAGTCCAAAGGTTCATCTTGGCGCCTTCGCTGCTGATTTTGGACCCCTGACGGAACTTGTTGATGCTCTTGCTGCTGCTGTTGCTGTTGCTAGTATTATCGTTGCTTTTCTTGTCGTTGCCGAGGTGGCAATGGGGGTGTGGGTGAAGGAATAACGGTGGTCGTAGTTCTAGAAGAGCCATCGAGCCCCGAGGCCAGAGACTTCCTAGCAGCGAAGACGGCCTCCAAACTTTCTGCGATGATGGGGGGAATGTGAAACATCTCAATTTTGGATGAAGAGTTATGTGCCGATGGGGTGGTTTGGAGTTATAGTCGGGATCTTCTTCAAGGTTTGCCTCATCTTCCTTTTCTTCTTCTGAAGAACGGTCCACCCAGATGGAAGGATCGAAAAGCGGACGAACTTGAGCTAATCAGGTGTAGCTGGGATGGTATTCGAGAAATACGTGTTGCCCGAGAAAAGGGGTCACCGGGGTTGTAAGACCAAACCATGAGAAGATCATCAAATGCAATGGAAGCTTTTGGAGACTGGGCAGCTCCCCTTTTGTATCCCTCTACAAAGAAAAATAGGTCAAAAATAAGAATAACGGTTGAGTGGTGATGAACTTAGTAAAGTGCGCACCTAGAACCTTCACCTGTGTTCCATCAACCGTTAAGCATGATGAGATCCCAGGTGTACCCTTTGTCCAAGTCAGACATGTGAGTCACCAAGTACATGGAGCGGTCTCGTGACTTCAAGTAGTACTTGTTATTGTTGACTAGCTTCAAATCGTAGCAAAATAATATCTCGTCCACCCCGAGATTCACTCCTAGCCGGGAATTCAGGGCAACCACGCCCATGACTATTCTAAAGAGACTGATAAACACTGGAGAGAGAAGAGCCTTAGGCGCATAAGGACTCTAAGTAAAAGGGTGATAGCCTTGGTATGGAAGGTCAAAAGTTCGACACTACCCATGTCTGTCGTATGAAACTTGGGATCAAAAACAAAGGTGAAGATGTGCTCAGGAATGTCGTAGGTGGTCCTAAAGGCCTCTATAATGGCGTCAGTCACCTAGGTTCTCCTTAACCTGCCTATATCCCTAGGCCTATCTAACTCCCTTGGGGCCCTAGTTCTACTTATGCTGGCCATTGGGGTTTTTTCTAGAAGGAGCAATAAGGAGATAGAAGGGGATGGAAGCAAGAGAATACTTATAGGAAGTGTCTTCGAAGGATTCCTTGAAAGGAGTTGCTCAGGAGTAAGAGGAAAGTCTGCTCGGGAAAACGCTATAGCTTGATAGTTTGAATGACCTAAGAGTATTGAATGAGCCAGACTTCCCTATTTATACTGAATGGGATGTGGGCGGGAATCGAGGAGACATGCCATCAATTGAAAATTTAAAATTAGGCGCCAGATGTATGTGTAACCGTCCCTAATGATTAGGTATGCTGGGGAAGCCTCCACTCTCCGTGCGCCACCTGTCCTATGAGGCGAGGAAAACGGAGGTTGGGGGACAGTTGACGGGACATTAGGCGGCTCGCCAATAAAAAGTGGACACGTGAGCAGCTACAGCCATTGAAACGTATAAAGGCGTACTTGAGAGGGGCGCCTAGGAATTATGTCAAACAGGGCCGAGTACACCCCACGGAGTCTAGCAATAAATAAGATCTGACAGCTTATTAATGTCGGTCTTGAGTGGTTTGACAGAGCCATTAATGAGTGTCCAAATCCTTGAAGAATGTGGAGAGTCATCATTAGGAGGCATTAATGACCGTTGCGTCGACCTGAGGACCTCGGGCAGACCGAGGACTATCTATTCCACCTCATGAAAGCTTGGACGTAGGTTCCAAGCACTGATATGATGTATTTAATGACCAGGGAATGAGCCATGAATGCTTGGTGATTCCCGGGCAAGGGCCCATTTGCCAAGGAGGACTAGTTTTAATGAGACTTGATGAAATGACACTCATTATGCAAGGTGATGAGCACTTACCATTAAACTCTAGGATGGGACTCAAAGGCTGGGCCATCATTGTAAATCCAAGTATAAATACTCTTCGAAAAGTTGGACTAAGGTACGCAATTTGAAAATACAAAATATACATGGTTTTGTGACCCACATGTCGACTGACCTAAGTTTCGGAGGGGATTAGCTAGGTACATCCCCCACGCTCTTTCCTAACCCTTTGATTGTTTTAGGTTCATCATTCAGGGTCATCCAACGGGTCACTATCATAACATATTGCAGGAACTCACCTGTGCAATCTCATATCAATATTGGTACTTCCTAGCATCCTAGACTAAGGGTATTTTAGGTAAATAAAAATATTTATCCTGTAATTTTTGTGCTTTTCAAATTATAATGTAGAATTTTTTCATCCTAGTACAAGGCGTAGAAAATTTTTTAGTTTCCTTTTACTATCCTCTCTTTCAATTTACGTGTTTTGTTTTTAATTATTTAGTTTTTTTCTAATCAAATGGGCACTAAGTTTTTGTGGTTTGATGTACAATAAAATTTGTTGAATTTTAAAATAAAATTATAACAATATTATTTTAATCTAATTTAGTAAACCGAAAAACTTATAATATAATTTAGGAAAAAATTTAGTCACATCCCTTCTAATTTATCATATCTTCAAAGACACCTCATCTATTATCAAAAATATTATTGATATCCCTTCAAGTTTATATTTAAACATCAGTGACACTCCTGCCATTAAACCACTATTTATAATAAAAATAAATTATCTAAAATATCAAAATTACCCCTACATGAACTCTAAACAATCTTTCTACATAAAATTCAATTAAAATTCTAGTCGATGAGAATTCATTTCTCTATATATTAAAAATTGAGCTGATTAAAATTTTATGTTTTACATATTAAAATTTGATTCGAGCTGATTAAATTTTTTTTTTTCATATTAAAATATGAGCCTATTAAAAGTCTTTTACATACTAAAATTCGAGCAAATTTGAGCTATACTTTAGTTGTTAGCCTCTATTAAAATTCATTTCGAATCGATTAAAATTTATATTTTTTTATTTATTAAAATTCGATTCAACTTGATCAAAGAAAATTTTTATGTATTACAATTTAATTCAATTTAATTTATATTTTTTTATGTATAAAAAATTGGACCGATTAAAATTCAATACGAGTTGATTAAAATTTGATTTGAGCATCAAATAGAATTTAATAGGCTCAAATTTTAATACATAAAAAAATATAATTTTTAATCCACTTAACTTATAATATATATATATATATTAATTTTGAATCAATTTTAATTTGATTTCAATTTTAATACGCACAAAAAATTAAAATATAGAGAAAGTATCATTGAAGATATGTCTATCTAAAACGGGTGTGGATGAAGATTTTCTTAAAATATATCATGGGCAATTTAGTAAAATTTCATTCTAATTAACACATTTAATCTGACGGGAATGTTATTGAAGATTCAAAAAATAGAAAGGGTGTTTTTAACGATATAATAAACTAAAAGAGGTGTGGCTAAAATTTTCCTTCTAATTTACAATGTATATAGGTGACACATAAAAAACCCTTTTATAGCTCCCGTTACAACTGGAATTCGAAAAATCTTAACCCTCATTCCATTTTCTCTATTTCTGTGCTTTCTGTCTTGTGTCTTGAACTTGCATCGCAGTCTTTCAACCATGGAAGATGATCTTGATTTAGATCATTGGAATTTATGTGCAGAAGCAGAAGCATTTTTTGAGATTCTAGAACTTCTAAACGCAAATGGAAGTAAAATTGGTGTAGTGGCAAAGAAAATTGACAATATGCAGAATATTGTCTTCTCTTCTATACGGTTTTCTGATCGGTCAAAAAGAATCTACCGCGTGATCAAAGATTACAAAAATTACAAAGATAATTTTGAAGCAGGATTGAAGATTCAACAAACGTTGGATGAAGTATATGATTCTTTGACGAATAGGTTCAGGAGGCTGATGAGATTGCGCTCAATTCACTGTGATGTAAAGATGATAAAGGTGATAAGATTCATGTCTCAATTGTTTGGTTACATAGGACCAATTACAATTTTAGGTTTTCCAAAAAATCAACGAGCAATCATGGCCGCAGAAGCACGACGGCTCAAACTTAAAAAGCAAATTGTTGATGAAGTTCCTTCGGTTCAATTTGTAGATAGACTAGCCATTCTGCGTCGATCTTTTCCTAGACATACACATCCACCTCCTTCTGACCGCTACTTACACCTCCTCCTGGAGGGGAAAGTTCTTGCCAATTTGAGCTATACTTGAGCCATTTGCCGCTATTAAAAATGTTTTCGAATCGATGAAAATATATATTTTTTATTTAACAAAAATCGGACCGATTAAAATTTAATACGAATTGATTAAAATTTGATTTGAGCCACAAATAGAATTTAATCAGCTCAAATTTTAATACATAAAAAAATATAATTTTTAATCCACTTAAATTTTAATATATATAAAAAAATTTAATTTTGAATCAATTTTTAATCGATTTGAATTTTAATGCGCACAAAAATTTAAAATATAGAGGAAGTATCATTGCAAATATGCCTATCTAGAAGGGGTAAGGATGAAGTTTTTCCTAAAATATATCATGGGCAATTTAGTGAAATTGCATTCTAATTAACACCTTTAATCTGACAGGAGTGTTATTGAAGATTCAGAAAATAGAGAGAGTATTTTTAACGATATAATAAACTATAAGGGGTGTGACTGAAATTTTCTTATAATTTACAACTTATATATGTGACACCTAAAAAACTCTTTTATAACTCCCGCTACAACTGGAATTCGAAAAACCCTTAACCCTTATTCCATTTTCTCTGTTTCTATTATTTCCATCTTGTGTCGTGAACTTGCGTCGTAGTCTTGAAACCATGGAAGATGATCTTGATTTAGATCTTTGGAATTTATGTGCAAAAGCGGAAGCATTTTTCAAGATTCTAGAACTTTTGAACTCAAATGGAAGTAAAATTGGTATAGTGGCAGAGAAAATTGACGATATGCAGAACACTGTCCTCTCTCGTACGGTTTTTTGATCAGTCAAAAAGAGTCGATATTTTGATCAAAGATTACAAAAATTACAAAGATCATTTGGAAACAGGATTGAAGATTCAACAAACGTTGGATGAAGTATATGATTCTTTGATGAACAGGGTTAGGAGGCTGATGAGATTGCGCTGAATTCACTGCGACGTAAAGATAATAAAGTCGATAGGATTCATGTCTCAATTGTTTGGTTACACAGGACCAATTACAATTTTAGGTTTTCCAAAAATAAACGAGCGATCATGGCTGCAGAAGCACGACGACTTAATCTTAAAAAGCAAATTGTTGATGAAGTTCCACTGGTTCAATTTGTAGATAGACTAGCCATTAGGCGTCGATCTCCGCCTAGACATACACATCCACCTCCTTTTGACCGCTACTTACACCTCTTCTGGGATGGGAAAGTTCTAGCCAATTTGAGTTATACTTGAGTCATTAGCCCCTATTAAAATTCGTTTCGAATTGATTAAAATTTATATTTTTTATGTAACAAAAATCGGACCGATTAAAATTTAATACGAGTTGATTAAAATTTGATTTGAGCTTCAAATAGAATTTAATAGGCTCAAATTTTAATACACAAAAAAATATAATTTTTAATCCACTTAAATTTTAATATATATAAAAAATTTAATTTCGAATTAATTTTTAATCAATTTGAATTTTAACGCAGACAAAAATTTAAAATATAGATGAAGTGTCATTGAAGATATGTCTATCTAGAGGGGGTGTTGATAAAGTTTTTATTAAAATTCATCATGGGCAATTTAGTGAAATTGTATTCTAATTAACACCTTTAATCTGACAGGGGTGTTATTGAAGGTTCAAAAAATAGAGAGGGTGTTTTTAACGATATAATAAACTATAAAGGGGTGTGGCTAAAATTTTTCTTATAATTTATAACTTATATAGGTGATACCTAAAAAACTCTTTTGTAGCTCCCGCTACAACGGGAATTCGAAATCCCTGAACCCTTATTCAATTTTCTTTGCTTCTACTCTTTCTATCTTGTGTCTTGAACTTGCATCGTAGTCTTGAAACCATGGAAGATGATCTTGATTTAGATCTTTGTAATTTATGTGCAGAAATGGAAGCATTTTTCAAGATTCTAGAATTTTAGCACTCAAATGGAAGTAAAATTGGTGCAGTGGCAGAGAAAATTGATGATATACGGAATACTGTCCTCTTTTTTGTACGGTTTTCTAGTCTGTCAAAAAGATTCAATCGCTTGATCAAAGATTACAAAAATTACAAAGATCATTTGGAAACAAGATTGAAGATTCAACAAACGTTGAATGAAGTATATGATTCTTTGACGAACAGGGTTAGGAGGCTGATGAGATTACGCTCAATTCACTGTGATGTAAAGATTATAAAGGTGGTAGGATTCATGTCTCAATTGTTTGGTTACACAAGAGCAATTACAATTTTAGGTTTTTCAGAAAATCAATGAGCGATCAAGGCCACAGAAGCACGACGGCTCAATCTTAAAAAGCAAATTGATGATGAAGTTCCTCCGGTTCAATTTGTGGATTGAGTAGCCATTCCGTGTCGATCTCTGCCTAGACATACGCATCCACCTCCTCTGGACTGCTACTTACACCTCCTCCTGGAGGGGAAGGTTCTAGCCAATTTGAGTTATACTTGAGTCGTTAGCCCCTATTAAAATTTGTTTAGAATCGATTAAAATTTATATTTTTTTATTTATTAAAATTTGATTCAACTTGATTAAAATTTTTTTTATGTATTAAAATTTAAGTGAATTAAATTTTTTTTTTTATGCATCAAAAATCAGACCGATTAAAATTTAATACAAGTTGATTAAAATTTGATTTGAGCCTCAAATAAAATTTAATCAGCTCAAATTTTAATACGTAAAAAAATATATAATTTTAATCCATTTAAATTTAAATATATATATAAAAAAATTGATTTCGAATCAATTTTTGATCGATATGAATTTTAATGCGCACAAAAATTTAAAATATAGAGGAAGTATCATTGAAGATATGTTTATCTAGAAAGGGTGTAGATGAAGTTTTTCCTAAAATATATCATTGGCAATTTAGTAAAATTGCATTCTAATTAACACCTTTAATCTAACATGGGTGTTATTAAAGATTCAAAAAATAAAGAGGGTATTTTTAACAATATAATAAACTAAAAGGAGAGTGGCTGAAATTTTTCTTATAATTTACAACGTATATAGGTGACACAAAAAAACCCTTTTATAGCTCCCGCTACAACTGGAATTCAAAAACTTTTAACCCTTATTCAATTTTCTCTGTTTCTGTTCTTTCTGTCTTGTGTCTTGAACTTGCATCGCAATCTTGAACTATGGAAGATGATCTTGATTTAGATCTTTGGAATTTATGTGCAGAAGCGAAAGCATTTTTCGAGATTCAAGAACTTCTGGACTCAAATGAAAGTAAAATTGGTGCAGTGGCAGAGAAAATTGACGATATGCGGAACACTGTCCTTTATTTTGTACTGTTTTTTGATCGGTCAAAAAAAGTCGATCGCATGATCAAAGATTACAAAAATTACAAAGATCATTTTGAAACAGAATTGAAGATTTAACAAACGTTGGATGAAGTAAATGATTTTTTGACGAATAGGGTTAGGAGATTGCTAGTATTGCGCTTAATTCACTGAAACTCAACGGCTCAATCTTAAAAAGCAAATTGTTGATGAAGTTCCTCCAGTTCAATTTGTATATAGACTAGCCATTCCGCATCAATCTCTGCCTAGACACCCACATCCACCTTCTTCTGGACCGCTACTTACACCTCCTCATCGAGGGGAAAGTTGTAGCCAATTTGAGCTATACTTGAGCCGTTAGCCCTATTAAAAATCGTTTCGAATCAATTAAAATTTATATTTTTTTATTGATTAAAATTCGATTCAACTTGATTAAAATTTTATTTATGCATCAAAATTCAAGTCAATTAAAATTTATATTTTTTTATGTATCAAAAATCGGATCGATTAAAATTTAATACAAGTTGATTAAAATTTGATTTGAGCCTCAAATAGAATTTAATCGGCTCAAATTTTAATACGTTAAAAGAATATAATTTTTAATCCACTTTAATTTTAATATATATAAAAAAAATTAATTTCGAAACAATTTTTAATCGATTTCAATTTTAATGCGCACAAAAATTTAAAATATAGAGGAAGTATCATTGAAGATGTCTCTCTAAAAAGGGCGTGGATGAAGTTTTTCCTAAAATATATCATGGGCAATTTAGTGAAATTGCATTATAATTAACACATGTAATCTGACAGGGGTGTTATTGAAGATTCAAAAAATAAAGAGGGTGTTTTTAACGATATAATAAACTAAAAGGGGTGTGGGTGAAAATTTTCTTATAATTTACAACGTATCTAGGTGACACCAAAAAAAACCCTTTTATAGCTCCTGCTACATCTGGAATTCGAAAACCCTTAACCCTTATTCCATTTTCTCTATTTCTGTTCTTTCTATCTTGTGTGTTGAACATGCATTGCAGTCTTGAAACCATGGAAGATGATCTTGATTTAGATCCTTGGAATTTATGTGCAGAAGTGGAAGCATTTTTCGAGATTTTAGAACTTCCAGACTCAAATAGAAGTAAAATTGGTGCAATGGCAGAGAAAATTGACAATATGTGGAATATTGTCCTCTCTTCTGTACGGTTTTTTGATCGATCAAAAAGAGTCGATCGCTTGATCAATGATTAAAAAAATTAAAAAGATCGTTTTGAAATAGGATTGAAGATTCAACAAACATTGGACGAAGTATATGATTCTTCGACGAACAAAGTTAGGAGGCTGATGAGATTGTGCTCAATTCACAACGATGTAAAGATGATAAAGGCAGTAGGATTCATGTCACAATTTTTTGGCTACACAAGACCAATTACAATTTTAGGTTTTTCAGAAAATCAACGAGCAATCATGGCCACAGAAGCACTGTGGGTCAATCTTAAAAAGCAAATTGTTGATGAAGTTTCTCCGGTTCAATTTGTAGATAGGCTAGCCATTCTGTGTCGATCTCCGCCTAGACAGACATATCCACCTCCTTCTGGATCATTACTTACGCCTCCTTCTGGAGGGAAACGTTCTAGTCAATTTGAGCTATACTTGAGCCGTTAGCCTATATTAAAATCCTTTTCGAATCGATTAAAATTTGTATTTTTTTTATTTATTAAATTTTGATTCAACTTGATTAAAAAAACAATTTTTGTATCAAAATTTAAGTCAATTAAAATTTATATTTTTTTATATATCAAAAATTGAACTGATTAAAATTTAATACGAGTTGATTAAAATTTGATTTGAGCCTCAAATAGAATTTAATTGGCTCAAATTTTAATACGCAAAAAAATATAATTTTTAATTCACTTAAATTTTAATATATATATATATATATATATATATATAATTTTGAATCAATTTTGAATTGATTTGAATTTTAATGCGCACAAAATTTTAAAATCTAGAGGAAATATCATTGAAGATATGTTCATTTAGAAGGAGTATGGATGAAGTTTTTCCTAAAATATATCATGGGCAATTTAGTAAAATTAGATTCTAATTAACACCTTTAATCTAACAGACGTGTTATTGAAGATTCAAAAAATAGATAGGGTGTTTTTAACGATATAATAAAGAAAAAGGAGTGTGGCTGAAATTTCCTTATAATTTACAATGTATATAGGGGACTCCAAAAAAACCTTTTTATAGCTCCCGCTACAACTAGAATTCGAAAACCCTTAACCCTTATTCCATTTTCTCTGTTTCTGTTCTTTCTATCTTGTGTCTTGAACTTGCATCGGAGTCTTGAAACCATGGAGGATGATCTTGATTTAGATCTTTGGAATTTATGTGCAGAAGCGGGAGCATTTTTCGAGATTCTAGAACTTCTGGACTCAAATGACAGTAAAATTGGTGCAGTGGCAGAGAAAATTGACAATATACGGAATACTGCCCTCTCTTCTGTACGATTTTCTGGTCGGTCAAAAATAGTCGATCGCTTGATCAAAGATTACAAAAATTGCAAAAATCATTATGAAACAGGATTGAAGATTCAACAAACGTTGGAAAAAGTATATGATTCTTCGACGAACAAGGTTAGGAGGCTGATGAGATTGGGCTCAATTCACTGTGATGTAAAGATGATAAAGGCAATAGGATTCATGTCTCAATTGTTTGGCTACACATGACCAATTACAATTTTTGGTTTTCCACAAAACCAACGAGCGATCATGGCCGCAGAAGCACAGCGGCTCAACCTTTAAAAGCAAATTGTTGATGAAGTTCCTTCAGTTCAATTTGAAGATAAACTAGCCACTCCACGTCAATCTCTACCTAGACACACACATCCACCTCCTTCTGGATCGCTACTTACACCTCTTCCTAGATGGGAAGATTTTAGCCAATTTGAGCTATACTTGGGCTGTTAGCCCATATTAAAATTCGTTTCGAATCAATTAAAATTTATATATTTTTATTTATTATAATTCTATTCAACTTGATTAAATTTTATTTTTATGTATCAAAATTTAAGTCAATTAAAATTTATATTTTTTTATTTATCAAAAATCGGTCCGATTAAAACATAATACTAGTTGATTAAAATTTGATTTTAGCCTCAAATATAATTTAATCGGCTCAAATTTTAATACGTAAAAAAAATATAATTTTCAATCCACTTAAATTTATATATATATATATATATATATATATATATATATAATTAATTAATTTTGAATCAATTTTTAATCGATTTGAATTTTAATGTGCAGCAAAATTTAAAATCTAGAAGAAGTATCATTAAATATATGTCTATCTAGACGGGTTGTGGATGAAATTTTTTCTAAAATATATCATGAGCAATTTATTAAAATTGTAGAAAATAGATAGGGTGTTTTTAACGATATAATAAACTAATAGGGGTGTAGCTGAAATTTTCCTCATAATTTACAACGTATATAGGTGACACCAAAAAAACCCTTTTATAGCTCCAGCTACAACTGGAATTCGAAAACCTGTAATCCTTATTCCATTTTTCTCTGTTTCTATTCTTTTTGTCTTGTGTCTTGAACTTGCATCACAGTCTTGAAACCCTGGAAGATGATCTTGATTTAAATATTTGGAATTTATGTGTAGAAGCGGAAGCATTTTTCAAGATATTAGAACTTCTAGACTCAAATGGAAGTAACATTGGTGCAGTGGCAAGGAAAATTGACGATATACGAAATACTGCCCTCCCTTCTGTACGATTTTCTGGTCGGTCAAAAAGAGTCAATTGCTTGATCAAAGATTACAAAAATTACAAAGATCATTTTGAAACAGGATTGAAGATTCAACAAACGTTGGACGAAGTGTATGATTCTTTGACGAACAAGGTTAAGAGGCTGATGAGATTACGCTCAATTCACTGTGATGTAAATATGATAAAGGCGATAGGATTCATGTCTCAATTGTTTGGCTACACAAGACCAATTAGAATTTTAGGTGTTCTAGAAAATCAACGAGCGATCATGGCAGCATAAGCACAACGACTCAATCTTAAAAAGCAAATTGTTGATGAAGTTCCCCTGGTTCAATTTGTAGATAGACTAGTCATTCTACGTTGATCTCTACCTAGGCATACACACCCACCTCCTTCTGGACCGCTACTTACACCTCCTTCTAGAGCGGAAGGTTCTAGCCAATTTGAATTATACTTGAGTCGTTGGGCCTTATAAAAATTCATTTCAAATCGATTAAAATTTATATTTTTTTAATTATTAAAATTCGATTCCACTTGATTAATTTTTTTTTTTATGTGTCAAAATTCAAGTCAATTAAAATTTATATTTTTTTATGTATCAAAAATCGGACCTATTAAAATTTAATACGAGTTGATTAAAATTTGATTTGAGCCTCAAATAGAATTTAATCGGCTCAAATTTTAATACGTAAAAAAAGTACAATTTTTAATCCACTTAAATTTTAATATATTTAAAAAAATTAATTTCGAATCAATTTTTAATCGATTTGAATTTTAATGCGCACAAAAAATTAAAATATAGAGAAAGTATCATTGAAGATATGTCTATCTAGAAGGGGTGTAGATGAAATTTTTACTAAAATATATCATAGGCAATTTAGTAAAATTGCATTCCTATTATCACATTAAATCTGACATGGGTGTTATTGAAGATTCAAAAAATAGAGAGAGTGCTTTTAACGATATAATAAACTAAATGGGGTGTAAATAAAATTTTTCTTATAATTTACAACGTATACAATTGACACCAAAAAAACCCTATTATACCTCCCGCTACAACTGGAATTCGAAAATCCTTGACCCTCATTCCATTTTCTCTATTTCTGTTCTTTCTATCTTGTGTCTTGAACTTGCATCGCAGTCTTGAAACCTTGGAAGATAATCTTGATTTAGATCTTTGGAATTTATGTGCAGAAGCGGAAGCATTTTTCGAGATTCTAGAACTTTTGAACTCAATTGGAAGTAAAATTGGTGCAGTGGCAGAGAAAATTGATGATATGCGGAATATTGTTCTCTCTTCTGTACGATTTTCTGATCCGTCAAAAAGAGTCGATCGCTTGATCAAAGATTACAAAAATTACAAAGATCATTTTGAAACAGGATTGAAGATTCAACAAATATTGGATGAAGTATATGATTCATTGATGAACAGGGTTAAAAGGCTGATGAGATTGCGCTCAATTCACTACGATGTAAAGATGATAAAGGCGATAGGATTCTTTTCTCAATTGTTTGGTTACACATAACCAATTACAATTTTAGGTTTTTCAGAAAATCAACGAGCGATCATGGCCACAGAAGCACGGCTGCTCAATCTTAAACAGCAAATTGTTGATGAAGTTCCTCTGGTTCAATTTGTAGATAGACTAGCCATTCCGCGTCGATCTCTGCTTAGACATACACATCCACCTCCTTCTGGACCACTACTTACACCTCTTCCTAGAGGGGAACGTTCTAGCCAACTTGAGCCGTTAGACCCTATTAAAATTTATTTCGAATTGATTAAAATTTATATTTTTTTATTTATTAAATTTTGATTCAACTTGATTAAAAAAAAATTTATGTATCAAAATTTAAGTCAATTAAAATTTATATTTTTTTCATGTATCAAAAATCGAACCAATTAAATTTAATATGAGTTGATTAAAATTTGATTTGAGCCTCAAATACAATTTAATAGGCTCAAATTTTAATACGTAAAAAAATATAATTTTTAATCCACTTAAATTTTAATATATATAAAAAACAATTAGTTTTGAATCAATTTTGAATCGATTAGAATTTTAATGCGCACAAAAATTTAAAATCTAGAGAAAGTATCATTGAAGATATGTCTATCTAGAAGAGGTGTGGAAGAAGTTTTTCCTAAAATATATTATGGGCAATTTAGTAAAATTGTATTCTAATTAACACCTTTAATCTGACAGGCGTATTATTGAAGATTTAAAAAATAGATAAGGTGTTTTTAACGATTTAATAAACTAAAAGGAGTGTGGCAGAAATTTTCTTTATAATTTACAACGTATATAGTTGACACCAAAAAAACTCTTTTATAGCTCCCGCTACAACTAAAATTCGAAAACCCTTAACCCTTATTCCATTTTCTCTATTTCTGTTCTTTCTGCCTTGTGTCTTGAACTTGCATCGTAGTCTTGAAACCATGGAAGATGATCTTGATTTATATCTTTGGAATTTATGTGCAGAAGCGGAAGCATTTTTCGAGATTCTAGAACTTTTGGACTCAAATGGAAGTAAAATTGGTGCAATGGCAGAGAAAATTAACGATATGCAGAATATTGTCCTCTCTTCTGTATGATTTTCTGATCGGTCAAAAAGAGTCGATCACTTGATCAAAGATTACAAAAATTACAAAGATCGTTTTGAAACAGGATTGAAGATTCAACAAACGTTAGACGAAGTTTATGATTCTTTGACGAACAAGGTTAGCAGACTGATGAGATTGCTCTCAATTCACTGTGATGTAAAGATGATAAAGGCGGTAGGATTCAAGTCTCAATTGTTTGGCTACATAGTACCAATTACAATTTTAGATTTTCCAGAAAATCAACAAGCGATCATGGTCGCAGAAGCACGACGGCTTAATCTTAAAAAAAGTAAATTGTTGATGAAGTTCCTCCGGTTCAATTTGTAGATAGATTAGCCATTCTGTTTCGATCTCTGCCTAGACACACACATCCACCTTTTTCTGGACCGCTACTTACACCTCCTCGTCGAGGGGAAGGTTCTAGCCAATTTGAGTTATACTTGAGTCGTTAGCCCCTATTAACATTCGTTTCAAATCGATTAAAATTTATATTTTTTTATTTATTAAAATTAAATTCAACTTGATTAAAATTTATTTTATGTATCAAAATTTAAGTCAATTAAAATTTATATTTTTTTATGTATCAAAAATCAAACCAATTAAAATTTAATATGAGTTGATTAAAATTTGATTTGAGTCTCAAATAAAATTTAATCGGCTTAAATTTTAATACGTAAAAAAATATAATTTTTAATCCACTTAAATTTTAATATATATATATATATATATATATATATATATATATATATATATATATATATATATATATATATATATATATATATATATATATATATATATATATATATATATATAATATTCATTTCAAATCAATTTTTAATCAATTTGAATTTTAATGCGCATAAAAATTTAAAATTTATAGGAAATATCATTGAAGATATGCCTATCTAGAAGGGGTGTGGATGAAGTTTTACTAAAATATATCATGGACAATTTAGTAAAATTACATTCTAATTAACACCTTTAATCTAACAGGGGTGTTATTGAAGATTCAAAAAATAGATAGAGTGTTTTTAACGATATAATAAGCTTAAAGGGATGTGGCTGAAATTTTCCTTATAATTACAATGTATATAGGTGACACCAAAAAAACCATTTTATAGCTCCCACTACAACTGGAATTCGAAAACCCTTAAACCTTATTCCATTTTCTCTGTTGCTGTTCTTTTTGTCTTATGTCTTGAAACCATGGAAGATGATCTTGATTTAGATTTTTGGAATTTATGTGTAGAAGCGGGAGCATTTTTTGAGATTCTAGAACTTCTGGACTCAAATGGCAGTAAAGTTGGTGCAGTGGCAGAGAAAATTGACGATATATGGAATACTGCCCTTTCTTCTGTACGGTTTTCTGGTTGGTCAAAAACAGTCGATCGCTCGATCAAAGATTACAAAAATTGCAAAGATCATTATGAAACAGGATTGAAGATTCAACAAACGTTGGAAAAAGTATATAATTTTTCGACGAACAAAGTTAGGAGGCTGATAAGATTGTGCTCAATTCACTGCAATGTACAGATGATAAAGGAAGTAGGATTCATGTCTCAATTGTTTGGCTACACAGGACCAATTACAATTTTAGGTTTTCTAGAAAATCAACGAGCGATCATGGCCGCAGCAGCAGGGCGGCTCAATCTTAAAAAGCAAATTGTTGATGAAGTTCCTCCGGTTCAATTTGTAGATAGACTAGCCATTCCGCGTTGATCTCTGCCTAGACATACATATCCACCTCCTTCTGGACTGCTTCTTACACCTCCTCCTGGAGGGAAGGTTCTAGGCAATTTGAGCTATACTTGAGTCATTAGCCCTATTAAAATTCGTTTCGAATGGATTAAAATTTATATTTTTTTATTTATTAAAACTCGATTCAACTTGATTAAATTTTTTTTTTATAATTCAAAATTTAAGTCAATTAAAATTTATATTTTTTTATGTATCAAAAATCGGACTGATTAAAATTTAATACGAGTTGATTAAAATTTGATTTGAGTCTCAAATAGAATTTAATCGACTCAAATTTTAATACATAAAAAAATATAATTTTTAATCCACTTAAATTTTAATATATATATATATATATATATATATATATATATATATATATATATATATATATAATTTTGAATCAATTTTTAATTGATTTGAATTTTAATGCGCACAAAAATTTAAAATATAGAGGAAGTATCATTGAAAATATGTCTATCTAAAAAGAGTGTGCATGAAATTTTTCCAAAAATATGCCATGGAAAATTTAATAAAATTGTATTCTAATTAATACCTTTAATCTGACAGGGGTGTTATTGAAGATTTAGAAAATATATAAGGTGTTTTTAACGATATTAGAAACTAAAAGGAGTGTAGCTGAAATGTTTCTTATAATTTACAACGTATATAGGTGATTTTATAGCTCCTGCTACAACTGCAATTCGAAAACGCTTTATCCTTATTCCATTTTCTCTGTTTCTATTCTTTCTGTATTGTGTCTTGAACTTGCATCGCATTCTTGAAACCATGGAAGATGATATTGATTTAGATCTTTGGACTTTATGTGCAAAAGCGGAAGCATTTTTCAAGATTCTAGAACTTCTGAACTCACATGGAAGTAAAATTGGTGCAGTGCCAGAGAAAATTGACGATATGCAGAACACTGTCTCCTCTTCTGTACGGTTTTCTGATCGGTCAAAAAGAGTTGATCGCTTGATCAAAGATTACAAAAATTAGAAAGATCGTTTTGAAACAGGATTGAAGATTCAATAAACATTGGACGAAGTATATGATTCTTCGACGAACAAGGTTAGGAGGTTAATGAGATTGCGCTCAATTCACTGCAATGTAAAGATTATAAAGGCGGTAGGATTCATGTCTCAATTGTTTGGCTACACAGGACCAATTACAATTTTAGGTTTTTCAGAAAATCAACGAGCGATCATGGCCGAAGAAGCACGGCGGCTCAATCTTAAAGAGCAAATTGTTGATGAAGTTTCTCCGGTTCAATTTCTAGATAGACTAGCCATTCTGCATCGATCTCCGCCTAGACACACATCCACCTCCTTCTGGACCGCTACTTACACCTACTAGAGGGGAAGGTTCTAGCCAATTTGAGCTAAACTTGAGTCGTTAGCCCCTATTAAAATTCATTTTGAATCGATTAAAATTTATATTTTTTATTTATTAAAATTCGATTCAACTTGATTAAAAAAAATTTTATGTATCAAAATTTAAGTCAATTAAAATTTATATTTTTTTATGTATCAAAAATCGGACCGATAATACGTAAAAAAAAAAAAATTTTAATCCACTTAAATTTTAATATACATATAAAAAATTAATTTCAAATCAATTTTTAATCGATTTGAATTTTAATGCGCACAAATATTTAAAATCTAGAGGAAGTAACATTGAAGATATGTCTATCTAGAAGGGGTGTGAATGAAGTTTTTCTTAAAATATATCATAGACAATTTAGTAAAATTACATTCTTATTAACACTTTTAATCTAATAGGGGTGTTATTGAAGATTCAGAAAATAAAGAGGGTGTTTTTAACGATATAATAAACTAAAAGAGGTGTGACTAAAATTTTCCTTATAATTTACAACATATATAGGTGACACCAAAAAAAACCCTTTTATAGCTCCCGCTACAATTGAAATTCGAAAACCCTTAACCCTTATTCCATTTTCTCAGTTTCTGTTCTTTTTGTCTTGTGTCTTGAACTTGCATTGGAGTCTTGAAACCATGGATGATGATCTTGATTTAGATCTTTGGAATTTATGTGTAGAAGCGAAAACATTTTTCGAGATTTTAGAACTTCTGGACTCAAATGGAAGTATAATTGGTGCAGTGGCAGAGAAAATTGATGATATACGGAATATTGTCCTCTCTTTTGTATGGTTTTCTGATCGGTCAAAAAGAGTCGATCTCTTGTTCAAAGATTACAAAAATTACAAAGATCATTTTGAAACAGGAGTGAAGATTCAACAAACGTTAGATGAAGTACATGATTCTTTGACGAACAAGGTTAGGAGCCTGATGAGATTGCACTCAATTCACTATGATGTAAAGATGATAAAGGCGGTAGGATTCATGTCTCAATTGTTTGGCTACACATGACCAATTACAATTTTAGATTTTTCAAAAAATCAACTAGCAATCGTGGCCACAGAAGCACAACGGCTCAATCTTAAAAAGCAAATTGTTGATAAAGTTCCTTCGGTTCAATTTGTAGATAGACTAGCCATTCCGAGTCAATCTCCGCCTAGACATACACATCCACTTCCTTCTGGACCGCTACTTACACCTCCTCCTAGAGGGGAAGTTTCTAGTATGGAGGATCCACTAAGATGCGAGAAGCTGGATTATTGGAGGCAACGCAAGTGGGATTAGAGGGCAGAGTTATTATTTAACTGGTCGGGGTTTAGCATGTGGTAGAATTGGTTGTCTGGTAATTCATTTTGTGCTTGTGAAAGTGTTGTGAGCATCATGGGTTAATGTACACTTTCTGAGTCTTTGTTATCTACAATGCGAAAGTGTGGAGATTTGGAATTTGAGTCTTTGTTATACTAGTGGTAGTTGAACATAAAATGTAATGTTGGTGTGCATTTTCTCAACCATTACATTATTCTTGTTAATATGAAATCTGTCTTCAGTTGTGATGAACCATCATAGTGACTTCTTGGGTCTCCTGTAATTGATAACTCGCTAAGTTGTTCATCATGTCGATCTGAAACCCCTTGCCTTCAGCTGCTGCTGCCCTCTGATTTGGCTTATAATTTTTTGTCAATTTTCCGTCCCTTTGGGTTTTCCCTGCCACTTGTATTTGCTATTTTTTTACGTTCTAGATTGTTAGGGGATGACGGCCACAATGGTGGGTTTGATGTTTGATGACCGGAAAAAGTTGTTCTTCTTCCCATCTGTTTCTCTTTTTATTCATTGGCTTTATGACTTTTATGTGCATAGATGAAGATGTCCTATTTTATTTTGGTCTTTTATGGATATTGAATGGAATTATTAGTGTTGATTACTGCCATGTTGTTTTCCTTTGTTGGCCTTAGATTAGGCTTGAACCTTGATTAATTAAAAAAACAAACAAGAGACAAAAAATGAACACATGGGAAGCTTTGGAACTAAAATTTTCATTCCATTATCTTCTAGAAAAGTCTCTTACAAGCTTTATATGGACACTTCATATATTCTAGAAAAGTCTCTCATACTTTATCTAGCCACACTTAAATATTGACACTCCATATATTCTAGATAAGAATCTTATAATTTTTATCTAGACATACCTAAATAATTCTAGAGTTTTTTATATTTGGGCCTAATTAAATACAACAAAACATGGCCCAAACACAGACTAACATTTTATAACTCAATTACAAACATAATATTTTTAGCCCAAATACAAAATAACACAACAAAGTATTAACTTTAACACACCCCCTTAAACTTGTCCTTCGGAAGTGCTTTGGTGAAGATGTCCGCCACTTGATCCTCCGTCTTGCAATACTTGAGTTGAAGTTCATCATCCTCCATGGCCTCCCGAATAAAGTGGTGCTTGATTGCAATGTGCTTGGTACGGCTATGGTAGACGGGATTCTTTGTCATTGCTATCGCGGACTTGTTATCACACAAAATTGGAGTATGCTCTCCTTGCTTCTCACCAATATCTTCCAAGATTCTCCTTAGCCATATTGCTTGTGATGTCGTCAATGATGCCGAAACATATTTGGCCTTGGTGGATGATTGTGCTACCGTTTGTTGCTTCTTAGAAGTCCATGAAAAGACACCCAAGCCAAGAGAAAATGCATAACCGTAAATGCTTTTCATATCATCCACACACCCAGCCCAATCACTATCGCAAAATCCAATCAATTTTGCATCCACATTTTTCTCAAATAAAATCTCATAATCAAGAGTACCTTTGATGTATCTCAAAACTTTTTTTGCCGGCCCCAAAATGAGTTTTGCTTGGCCTATGCATAAACCGAGATAATAAACTTGTAGCAAACATAATGTCCGCCCTTATAGTCGTCAAATATAAAAACTTCCAACCAAACTTCTATAAAAAGAAGCATCAACTACTTTACTTCCATCTACCTTTGTCAACTTTTCATTCACCACCAAAGGTGTAGCAACCGACTTGCAATTTACCATTTTAAACTTTTCTAGGAGAGTTTTTGAATACTTCATTTGGGAAATAAAAACACCATCTTCATTTTGAAAAACTTCAAATCCTAAGAAGTAATGCAACAAACCCAAATCACTCATCTCATATTTTTTCATCATGTCTCTTTTAAATTCTTCAAGCATTTTTTCTTCATTTCCGGTAAAAATAAGATCATCAACATAAAGAGAAACAATAAGAATACTGGTGTTACCTTATTTTTTGACGTACAAGGTTGGCCCGTTTTTGCTCCTTTGAAAGCTTTTATTGTTGAAGTAGGAATCGATCTCGCTATACCATACTCGTGGTGCTAGTTTCAACCTATATAATGTCTTCTTCAACTTGTAAATTTTATCTTCTTTTCCTTTGACAATAAAGCCTTGAGGTTGATCCACATACACCTCTTCCTCCAAGTCTCCATTTAAAAATGAGGTTTCATATCAAGTTGGTACAAGAACCATCCCTTTTGAACCGCCAAAGCAATAAGTCTCTAATTGTGTCAAGTCGAGCCACCAATGCAAATGTTTCTTAATAATCAACACCCGGTTGTTGAGAATACCCCTTTGCAACAAGCATTGATTTGTTCTTTTGAATTGACCCATCCGGATTAAGTTTTGTTTTGTAAATCCACTTCACACCAATCACTTCTTTTTCTTCGGGTCTCTCCACCAACTCTCACGTCTTGTTCTTTTCAATTACCCGAATCTCCTCTTGCATTGTTTTTTTTTCAAACTTCTAGTTTAATTGCTTCTTCAAAGTTCTCCGGTTCAACCACACAAAGTTGCATCTTGTATACACATCACTAAGACTTCTCATTTTTCTTGGAGGTGAGCTTGGAGACGTAGAACTTGAGCTTGATGAAGTTGATTGTGGACTAGCAATCAGCGATATTTGATTTGGAACATCAAGGTCCTCACCATCACTTTCTTCACTCCTCTCCTCTTCATAAGTAGGAGAAAAATGATTTTGCACCTTTTTTTTCCAATCCCAAGAGGTTTTTTTATCAAATATAACGTCTTTTGAAATGATCAACTTTTTTTTCTTCAAATTGTAGAGCCTATAGCCTTTTGATTGAGTGCTATAGCCCACAAAGATACATTTTTCACTAACTTCATCAAGTTTATGCCTCTTTTTTTTGGAAACGTGTGCATAACAAATAAACCCAAACACTTTTAAGTGATAAACTGAGGGCTTTCTTTTACTCCAAGCTTCAAATGGAGTTTTGTTTGAAAAGGTTTTTGGTGGACATCTATTCAAAAAGTAAATCACTATGTTAACAGTTTCGCCCCAAAAGGTTTTGAACAAACCCTTTTCATGAAGTATTGATTTAGACATTTTTTTAATTGTTCTATTTTTTCTCTCCGCGACTCCATTTTGTTGTGGAGTGTACCCAACGGACAATTGTCTTTTCATCCCAATATTTTCACAAAACTTCATAAATTCATTAAGTTATACTTACCACCTCTACATAACACTTTCATAAGGTGACTATTTTGCCTTTCAACAGGACTTTGGAATTTTCGAAAAACATTAAATACATCCGATTTTTTTCTCATAAAGTAAATTCATGTCATTGTAGAAAAATTATCAATAAAAGTAATGAAATACTTGATACCTCCATGGTTGTTGTGTCTATAGGCCCACACACATCGGTATGAACAAGCTTCAATGGTGCTTCAGCCCTTCGTGCCTTGTCTTTTGAAAATGTCTCCTGGTGTTGTTTCCCAAGAGCACAACCTTCACAAACTTTTTTAACTTCTTGATTTATCGGCAACCCATGTACCAAGCCTTTTTATGGTAGATACTTCAAACTTACCAGATAAGAATGAAAATTATACCTATTAACAAGATAAACCGGAGATTAACAGAGTTTTTTTAAGCGGATACAAAAATGGAGTCTACACCTCTGCCTCGCTTCGATCCACTGCCACAGAGATATCAGTCATCGCTTCTCAGATTCACCGAAGATGACTCCTTCTGTTTTCGATTTACTATGCACGTGAGCCTGAGTGGATGTGTACATATTGATGGGACTTTTCTGAAAAACCCTATGATGAAGACACGTGTCCTCGATTTTACTAAAGCACTGTTGCTAAGATCAAGCACCATCGGCGCACAAGGTCCTCGCCCCCGAGGTACCGACATATAGGGATCATACATTCAGTATATTTTTACAACCGACACGTGGCCTCGGCCTGATATGTACCTCGGTCGGTATACCTCCCTCGGTCTCCGAGATGAGCCTTTCCTCGGTGCCGAGAGGTACCCCCTCCTGGACGCTTCCTCTACTCCAGGATATGCTATTGACGTACAGGTCACTAGCCTAGGCTAGTCTAGGCTATTCATCATGACCTCGTCTTACACAAGTAATGTCAGAACGTACTGGAATATAGAGGTCACAGCCAATAGGGGATGGACGCGTGGCATGTGATATCACATCAAAGACAGACAAACCGCATGCCGTTGCTGACACGCGACTTGGGAAAGCAAACAATTAATTGCACCATCCCTTGATGAGACCGCATTCAATGCGGTAAGGCTCGGAAATGAAAGGCAATAAATGCTCCTATTACAGAGCATTTATTGCATCCTCCCCGAGAGGAGCACATTGTACCGTCGGCATCCCGACGACCCAGCATTGATTGCTCGGGACCCCGAGCAGCTAATTAGAGAAGACATTCCTCATCAGAATCAAATGTACACGCTACCTGTGCCTAATGATCACCTACTGACCACACTGACAGCAATCATGAGCTTTTTAAGGTATAAATACTCCTTGCAAAAGGCAAAGCGGGTATGCAACAACAAACTCTCTACTACAATACATTCTCAGTGTTTTCTCCTTCCTCTCTCTTTCTCAAAGACTAACTAGATCGTCGGAGGGGATACGCCGGAAAACACTCTGGCGCCCTTCTAACTTGTTCTTCTTTGTTCCAGGAACCTCTTTCAGCCTTACAGGATCGCTCTTCCTTTCCCAGGGTCCCCCGTTGCCGTTCCGGGTTACTACCGTACCTTGCAGGCTATCCCAAGCAGCGTGTCAGATCACTCAACCGGCTCACTCGAAGTTCACCAAGGAAGAGATCTATTCTCGTTTTTTATATTGTGCAGGATCTTGCACGCACACATATATTTATGTATATGCGTGAGCTTTTGGCTCCTCAAAAGCCTTGGGTCAGTGTTTTAGGCGAAATAGGATGGCGATGAGAAGGCGGTGAGCAGTTTTTATGTATTTAATTCATTTCTAAGACAAAAATGTTTCCTTTTTTATTCAGGAAGTGGAGACCTAGAAGATATGCTCTCTTGATTACTACATCTTCTTCTCCATCTTACGGTATGCTCTCTTGATTTCCTGTTTTAATGTTTTTCTTCAAAGCTTGGATTTTGGAAGTTTAACACTGGCAAGCAATCCTGTCACTTTGGCTTGTGAATTGTTCTATTTTGATGCTTATGCAGCTTTTATCTATAAGTTAAATTAACGATTGTATATTATCAGTAAGATGGAGAAGAAGGCGCCTATCACTTTTCCTTTTGCACAACATAAGGTAAATTTTGGTTTTGTTATTATTTTTCTGTGTCTTAGTTTTAGCACAAATGCTAATTGTTTGTTAAGGTTCTAATTCTCTGTTTTAATAATCAGTATCTTAAAAAGTGCAATCATGAGGAGGATAGGCTGAGTCGATTGCCTTGTGAAATTCTTGTGACTATCTTATCCCGGTTGGCAGTGAAAGAAGCTGCGAGAACTAGTGTCCTTTCACGCGGATGGGAAAATCTGTGGAAATATTCCACCGGCGTTTTCAATTTTGATGATGTGGAGGCAGTGCGTGGCTTGATAGACAGAAGTAAATGGCGCTTGAGGATGAAAGGACTACTTATATAAATTGGGTATATCAAGTCTTATATTCACATCGGGCTTGGACCCTAGATGGCCTTAGAGTTTCTTTTGATTTGGATGAAAGTTATGGACTTGTTCTGGATAAATGGATTAACTTCGCAATTATGAGGAGAGTTGCAATGCTTGAGTTGGACTTGTTAACATTCAATGGAATTGATCGGGCAATTAATAATTCCATTGATAGCTACACTAATAATTACACCTTTCTGATGGTACACTTCTAGAAAGGAACAAGATCAATGACACGTGTCCTCGGCCCCGAGGAACTTGTCTTATCTCTGGCGAGGCCACGTGTCCTCGGTCTCATTATCCTTCTGCTCCTTAATTCCACCAAGGCATGTTCCACCTGCTCGGAGGAGTACCCTGGGTCCCAAGGAATCATATATCCTCGATCATGAGGGTCATGCTCTGATCTCGGCATAAGTCAATGGTTTCTGAGGAAGTTACCGACCGACAGCTGAACAACCCATAGCAAGCTAGGAACTTTAATGGCACTCTATACATGTGGAGTCAGAATGACGGGGGGAATTTGACACTCAACCGTAAAGAATTAGACACGTGACATGATGTGCAAGGCTAGGGGTAAAAAGACAAGACTACCCCTGTTATTATGCGGCTAACAAAGACAAGTATTTAATGAAGTATCAGTTGATGAGACGTCTATCTTGACTTAATAAGTAGAGAAGTAAAAGCATTAAATACTCAAGGACTCACGTATTTAATGCCCCTACATTAGAGAAAGAGCATTAAGTGTTCGGCAGTCCAAACAATTAATACTGGGACATTCTCCATAAAAATAAGGGGCACACTGCTCCATCTTTGAAGGCTATCAGTAACCTGGGTTGTTAGCAATGATGAGTCTTTGAAGGTATAAATAATCTTCAAAAATACCTTACAAGGGGACGAAAAATCATCTCTCAAGAACCTCAAACAATGTTTTCTTCTTCTCCTCTCTCAAACACCTGACTTGATCGTCAGAGGGGTTACGCCAGAAAACACTTTGGCTTCTAACTTGTTTTCTGTGTTTTAGGAATCCCCTGTGAGCCATCGGAATCAGTTCGACAGCACCAAGAACAATTCATCACCACTCATAGGCCCCCTTTGGCTCTCTCAACTCATTCCTGAGTGCCGAATCCACCATCCTGACGGGTTGGAGCTCACCATGGGAGAGATTTGTCCACATTTCAACCATTGTGCAAAAATCAGCACACACAGTTTCCATCACGACCTCTTTTCTCTCCCAGCTTTGCTTCACTAACGTCCCTCATTTTGAAATCGGTGAATGTAACTGAGGAAGTTCTTTCATACTTCCTGTGCAATTGTCCCTTGCTTGAAGACTTACGTGTGCGAGGCTCTGGCACTCTTGTTAATTTAAAAGTTGTTGGCCCTACCCTCAAGTTGAAGTACTTGGAGATTAATGAGTGTTACAAGTTAAAACATCTCGAGATTCAAACACCAAATATTGTGTCGTTTACCAACCATGGGCCAGAGATAAGTATGCCTTTCAAGAATGTTTCCCGTCTTTCTATGGTGTCTCTTGGGGAAGATTATTGTGGATTATTGCTTTTGGAATTATATCGGCTTTCATTGCATCACTCTCAGCTAGAGACGAATATTATGGACTTTGAATTTTGCCAGCTTTTGCTAGTTCTTTCTCGGCTAGAGACTCTTAGACTGTATCTTGAATATATTTTTTTTATACGCAAAGAGCTTCCAGGTTTGTTTCCTTTGTTCCTTCCTTTATGGTTAGTATTACGTTTATTTATTTACAAGGCTAACAGGGAGGTGCTATTGTGATTTCTTACTTTGTTGATGACAGTTCGAATTTCCATCTTGGAATTCTTCGACTGAGTAATCTCAAGCACTTGGAGATGAAGGTTATTCCACTTCCCGATGAAAACATCCTTTACCTCTCTTGTTTGTTAAAAGCGTCTCCTCACTTGCATAGATTTTCAATGCAGGTAACTATACTTCTTTTACAAAGCTTAAAACTTAGATACCATCTGTTTAAGCAACTATTAGATCCTTTTGAATCTCTATCAAAATAGTAGTCTTTTTTGTGGGTCCTATGCATGCATTCTTGGTAGGACTTTCAAATGCTCTGTCATTGTTCAGGGCGTCGGTTCCCTACCTTAATTGTCGATTGAATCCCTGATGATTTCTGGGATTTCTATTAGTTATCACTCTTTAGTTTCTCGGCTTTCTTGCCAAAACTGAGAATGATATGAATAATGTTTTTCTGGTGGCAGATAATATTTACCTGGACTTCTGATATGAAGGTATGTTATGTATTTACATTCTTACTAGAACCATAAGATCAATATTCTCGATATCGTATCTGTGAAAATCATGAATTAACGTTGTTCTTGTTGCAGTTATCAGGGTTACAACCCTATTGTTCAAAGGACGCTAGGAAGTCTACAGAAGGTCCTTATCAATGCCTTAAAGTTGTGGAATTTGTTGGGTGTGCTGGGCATCAAACTGATGGTGAGTTTGCCAGACACTTGCTTTGGAATGCTGTTTCACTTGAGAAGATGATTATTGATCCTCGTCCACGTTATCTGGGACGAGAATTTGAAACGGGAATTGAAGTGGCCAGAAAGCGTGCCAAGGAGCTGGAAACAGAATTGCCTCTGAACTTGTGATACATTAGGATTGAAACTATCAATACCTATGAACCATTGGACTATGACCTATCAATTTTTTTTCTGACGACGACATTACAATTTGTTACTTTTTTCCGAATAAAATGGTAAATTTCAACATGTTTTGTACAAGCATGAAATACCGAATTGGAAGCCAAAGAAATGACGCTTATATTGTCACACCATAAAATGGGTGGCAAGGGAAGAGCTATTTGTAAGTCATGAAATAGCATCCGGATCTAATACAGCTCAGCGGTAGTTAAGGACAATGCTCGATACTCGGCCTCCGAACTTGAATGAGAGACCACACTCTGTTTCTTTGTGTACCAAGAGATCATGCAGGAGCCAAAAAAGAAGCCATATCCAGAGGTAGAACGTCGATCGTCCAGATTACCAGCCCAATCGAAGTCGCAAAATGCTTACAAATTGAGGTCACCTTTTGTAAACCAAAGACCACGGGTGATAGTACCCTTGAGATAGCGAAGGACTCGTTTGACAGCTGCCCAATGGGAGGTGGAGGGGCATGCATATGCAGGCAGAGCTAGTTCATCGAGTAAGAGAGATCAGGACGGGTAAGAGTACGATACTGGAGTGCTCCAACAATTTGGTGATATTCGATAATTTCGGCATCTACTAGCAAATCTTCATCAAATGAGGATAACTTAGACACCGAAACACATGGTGAAGCAATGGGTTTTGCACCAACCATACTTAAGAGATCATTGATGTATTTAGATTGCTGTAAATGAATGCCATCAGAGGTACGATATGCCTGTATCCCAAGAAAATAATTGAGCGGGCCGAGATCCTTTAACCAAAAATCTTTTTGAAGACTATGAATAATAGAAGATATAACGGCGGAGTGAGTATTAGTAACTAGTATATCATCTAGATAGACCAAGAGAAAAATATGAACGTCAGATTGATGAAAACAAAATGATGAAGAGTCGGAAACAAAGCCCAATTTCAGTAGTGAATCTTGTAACCGAGTGAACCAAGCACGGGGTGCCTGTTTGAGGCCATAAAGAGCATTGTGCAAGCGACACACATGATCCGGAAATTAAGGATCCAAAAATCCCTTGTGCTGCTCCGTATTCACCTCTTCGGATAAGAAACCATTCAAGAAGGCATTTGAAACATCCAGTTGATGTATACCCCAATCAAATTGAACTGCTAAGGCCAATAAAACTCAAACGGTGGAGGGCTTAATAACTGAACTGAATGTTTCGGTGAAATCAATCCCACTACGTTCATCAAAATCTTTAGCAACTAGTAGGACTTTATACCGATCAATCGTTCCATCTTGCTTTTGCTTGAGGCGGTAGACCCACTTATTCCGGACAACATTATGAGTGGAAGGACGTGGACATAATGACCAAGTACCATTGGCAATTCAGTTAGACCACCAAACTCATCGCCCATGGTAGCCCGCCACTCGGGGGACAACAGGGCAGTGGAAAAAAACGTGGGCTCCGGAGGTAAGGTAACAGTATGCAAGGCTTTGAGAGGATGGAAAGTTGAATAGTACATTTGATAATCTGGGAAGAGTTTGGGACGTGAGTTGCCGATTTGAAAGCGAGTAAGAACTCGTGAAACAGGAAGGGGTGTAGACGAGTGGGTGGAGGTGTGAGATGTATCAGTAATGGGAGGTTGAGGAGAGGGTGGGGTGGGCATGATGGTAGGAGATGGGGATGTAGGCAAAGGTGCCAGGCCGAAGAAACAGGAGAGGAAGGTGACTGCGTAGGGGGCAGTAAAGAGGGATGTGGTGAAGGTGAGGCAGCTGTGGAAGGTGAGGAGTGGGCAGGAATGGCCGCTGGGGAAGCGGCTGGAGGAGTGGGAAAAATAATAGGAGAGACATTATCGCAAAGGGCAGTGGAATGGGATGTGCTCGGGTGAAGTTGAATTATTACCTTTACATGCTGGAAACAACTCCCCATCAAACATCATGTTTCTAAAAACAGTAATGTTATACTGACCAATTATTTTAGAAATAGTAACGTGCATTATCATTCTAGAAATATAGACTCAATTGGTAATAGGATCTAAACATCGGTACCCCTTATGAGAAGAATTATAGCCTTGAAAAATACATTACTTACTACGAAAAGTAAGTTTTTTGAGTCATATATAGGCGTAATAAAAGATAGCGCACACAACCAAATGTTTTTAAGAAAACATAATCAAGTCGTTTACCAAATAGTTTAAAAAAATGTGAGGAATTATTTAACACCGGTGATGGTAGCCGATTAATCAAAAAGGTGGCGGTTAAAAAAGTATCAACCCAATATTCCATAGGAAGACCGGATTGGGCAACAAGTGAGAGGCCTGTTTCCATTACATGGCTGTTTTCGTTCTACTAGTCCATTTCGTTGTGATTTGTAAGGACAACTTAGGCTACTTTGAATACCACTGTTAAGAAAAAAAGATTAAAATGGCAATCAATGTACTAATCGCCGTTGTGCGATTGCTATTGTTTAATGAGAGTGGAGAATTGATCTTCAACCATAAGTTTGAATAGGACAAAGCAAGAATAAACATCAGCTTTTTATTTCAAAGGACATATTCAAGTGAACAAAGAAAAATCAACAATAAATAAAAAATATGATAAACAACCACCAATTAATGGAGTCGAATATGATCATACATCAGTGTGAATAAGTTCAAAAGGAAAACTAAATTCTCTCTATTGGACGTTAAAAATGGTTGTTGTTTACTTTTACATAATTGGCATGGCACACATACACCAAATTTATTTAAAGGACCAGTAACAGGAAGAGAAAAGTTCTTTAAGAACACGAGATACGACAAGAAATGATGGATGTCTTAATCTAGAATGCCAGATTGAAACAAGAGCCATAACACCTAGGAAAGCAGTAAAATTTTTTGGGTTTGACTGGAGTTGATTTCTGCAGGCGTATAGAATATAACCCACCTTCACTTAGTCCCGTGAGTAACATTCGGCCCGTCTACATGTCATGAACAAAATAGTGAGTTCCAGTAAGTACAAAAAAAAGTTTTTGTCGGTACAAAATTGATTAATAGATAAGAGATTGGGGAGGACTTGGGGACAAAGAGAAAAACATGAGACATATTTAACGAAGAAAGATGTAAAGATATAAGGACAGAACCTAAAAAACCCAAAATAATTAAATCTTAATTAATAGAGCAAAATGATAATTAGCCGTTAAGATACTGGTTAAAAATCTAAATTTTTCTAGAAATTAGATGACGAAAAGGAATTCACTGTTAGATTCCTCTCACAAAATTTAGGTAATCAATCAATTTTTGAATTCTGACACAATCAAATTTTTAGGTGTTGCAACGTGATCGGATATCACGGTTAAGTCTACGATTGAATTTCTAAATATATACGCATGACATTGTACGTGTTGTGAGAACCGAGATGGAGCTTGGTGTTAGTATTGCAACTGTTTTCCCTGAAGGCACTCTTACGAGTCTTGTATTTATTGGTTTTTATCTGTTAGGAAAGAATATAATTGATAATCCTTGTATTTGTATTAGATTGACATAATAAGGATAATTTAGTACTTATATTAAATTTTCTATATTTTTTTAACAAATTTTTCATTCTAACCAAACGCATACAAGAAAACGGAGCTTAAGGAAAAAAAAAAACTTGAAGGTTCAATCAGAGAGTTTTTGGATCAAAATCATCTTCGACAACAATGTATTTGGTGCCTGAAAATTCAAATCTTCTAACTAGTATCACAAATGCAGAAAGGTTTGACTGTAAGATGTGAACAACACATTGTAACTGGAGAAGAAGAGAGGGAGCATATCTTTTTGTTTTTCACCAAGTGGTGAAGAGAGAGAGAGAGAGAGAGAGAGAGAGAGAGAGAGAATTGTGTGGCTGATTTTTTTGGTGAATAGAGGAGTACTTAATAGAACTCCTAAACTTCATATCTCATTTGGAAGCTTACCTATTGGAGGAAGATCTCTTTTGGTACAAGACCAACGCCAAATCAGCATGCTGACGAGAAGGAATTAGGAAATTTCCTTAATTCTTTTTAATTCCTCTTAATTATCTTAAATGTAATCAACATGCATTGTTCTTAGAAAAATGCTATTTCAATCTAAAAAACTAACCTAATAATGTAACTTCAATAGAATTATTGAATAGATACAAAATTTCAAATTTTAATAAAATCCACAATCAATTCAAAAATCATAATAAATTAAATCAACAAATTATATCCCAATAACATTGCTCTTTTTTTAATCTTCTCAAAATACATCCCCTAACTAGGTGTTATTCTTTTTTATCTAATTAATAAATCTCCTCCATATCATCGAGGTTATTTTAAAAAAAAAAAGCAATTGCAATAAATTAGAATCCAATTATTTGAACTCTTTTGGGATCAAAAACCCTAATCCAATTCTTAACTTGGAATAGCAGGGGAAGAGCAAACAAATTTCTGTTGCAAATGCTTTCTTATGCAGATCATCAAATGATAGTTGCTATGGCTCAAAAATACTGGCAGACGAACAACTGTCTTTTTTCACCATTGTTTCCTCATCAGGAGAGCTTACAGCATTTTGAGAACTCTTATACCTGGAAAACAAGTAAAGAACGGACACATTCCTGCTCCATTGCTCTTTCGAGGTTCCCATGGATGGAATATCACTAGAACCCTCTAAAGAATGAGTCGAACAATCAGCATTTATCATCACTGCCTCGTCATCTTGTGTAATCCTTGTCAAGGTAAAACTTTCAGTTGTCTTCGCACAGTCTTCAGGAATTAAGCTTAGATCACGACGAGAACCTTGACTAAGCTTCGTTAGTGTGGCCTCTACATCAAGGAAAGTACATTAACAGAAACACCCCAAATCTCTATTTACTGTCATACACATTGCATAGAATCATTTTCCTATCAGGGAGCATTATGTTTACATTCTTTGTAACATTTTTTTTAATGAGATTGTAAACTTCACTGCCTCAAAAATTGTGGTAGTCATGATTGACAATAAAAATTTACTACTATACAAAAATCAGCAGTTACACCCATAACAAAAAGTAGAAAGGATATTCCATTACAATCCAAAGATGCACAAGAAGTTTTCTTTCACTAAAAGCAAATTTTAAAATAAATCAATGAGCCAGGACACTTATTCAAATTTATATTTTCTATAATGGATTGCCAACAAGGAAAACTTCAAGGAAAAAAGAACAAACCTTTCCTATTAACTCTGCATACATTTTATCCGTTCATTGGCAGCAAATGATTCATTACAGTTCCCGTTGACAGAATTTTTCGGGCATTCTTTTTCTCAAAGATTTCTTCATAGATTAATATTGGAATTATGTGGTGGAGCATTTTCTAAGGAAAGTGCAATGTCATCTACAACCACTTTCATGAAGTCACCACCTTGGGAATCCATCATATTTTCTCTAGAGAGCTAGTAGTTCACAAACCATAATAAGAAGCAACTTACCAAAATATGATTTGCTCAGGATGAATACGACTGGATCACAGTACCAAAATCTTATGACCGTATAGACATTCGTGAGTAATTATGTGTGTGCAAGGTATCTATCACATCATCTACTTTGTTCCCTAATCAAAACAAAATTGAGACAGCAAAAACAAAATAAGCTTAATAAAATTGTCTACAAGATAATGCCATTGTGTTCATTGAAAAACATTTCGAGTATGGCAACTCAAGTTATGCTTTGTTAGATATATATGGCTCACACATAGACAACCAATTCCGTGTTATTCCTCTCTTCAATACAGCTTGTGTCACAAAGAAAGAAAGAACTATGGTGGTTTCACCACTACCAAGTGCACTAAATTGAAATGGAATCCAGTTTTTGAAATGAACTATTATTCAAAAGAATCAAAATACCCCCTATTGATTCTAGTACTTGTCAAGGACCTAGATGCCCATAAGCAAATTGTAGAACACGAATGACATCTGAACAAGATACAGGTTGGTATAATCTCCATGTTGATAAACTGAGTCCTATCTTCAGATGATATTGTAACCCAACAAAATGCACATATCTAATTTCAATTTGCCTATTGGTAATTGAGACCATATCCGTGCTTAGAGAAATGATAGTTCAGATTGTTTTGTCAAAAATAAAGAAAAGTCATTTCTAAGAAGGGGGAAAAAAAGAAAATTGTCTGGTCAGACCCTAAGTTAGGTCTAGAATAGGGTCTAAAGGTTGGTTCCTTGAAAACTAGCTTGTGGAGTGTCTCAAAATCCATCCAGTGCTACAACATTAGAAGTCCCTTCTTTTGATCTTACCTAATCAACCAATGCCCATTCAATAATTTCATAACTTTATACAATATTTCACCATGAGGATCAGGAACATTATTGGATAAGTATTAGTTCATATATATACAACCAGATTAAAGAAACAACAGGAACACGAGGGACAGTACTAAAAATAACACAGGATTTATAAACAATTTCTAAAAATTCTCGAAGGGACAGCATATGCTATGGAAGATGCCTGACCTCCATTTTCATGATTATCAATATTTATGCAATGTATTAGTTACCACTTCAAAATTGCTTTTTCTTTTCAGAATAAAAGTTCTATTTAACCAGAAACAGCAAAAAGCAAGGAGAAGACCCCAGGAGCTTACATAAACATGTACATCAATACAAGTATGAGAGTAACAGATTTGCAACTAATATCAGAAGGGAGTGAGAGCAAATTTTTAAACAAAAAAAAAAAGTTTCTAGCCCTACTCATATCCTCACAAAATAGAACACAAGCCTAAGTTTGTACTTTCAGCTGCTATGTCTTCCACCTGAGGACTGGAAAATAGAATCGGGCAATTTCAAGTCTCTTGGATGTGAATTTGTGCAGTAGTAGAGCTCATTAACCCGCCTCTCACCACAACTACAGTTTCTTTTTGTGCTATTACTACGTCCTATAATCACTTAAAAATTCTCACAGAATTTCATCACTTCCATTAGCTTTTTCAAGTTACTACCACCAATCTATTTCCCATTCCAAACAATTGCCTAAGTCCCAGGCTAATGCTGCACCAGAAAGCTTGGAAGGTAGTTAACAATAGATTCTCCTTAATCTTGACGTCTGCTGTTTCCTTCTTCAAATAAATCTTGCACATTGCCACAAAATTATAACTTTTCGGCAGCCACCATTGAAGACAACTTTTTTTTTTTTTACAGCTAATAAAACAAGTAAACATAAAGGCGATCACATTTTGAACCTAAATTTTATCTTTTATTATCCTCCTACATTTCCCCCCAAAAAAGCAATTCAGTTCAACAAACCCAGCTTTGGATTTTAAGTACAGTGGAGCAACCCAATTACAGAAAATTTTGAAACTACAATTTATCACATTACAATGACAACAATACAGGATAAAATCAAAACCTCCCAGATAATGCAAGGTAGAGACCCTAAATTCGTTCTACATTCACATGAACAAAACTGGCCTTGTCTACAAAATTGAAAGGAAAAAAAAACCCACTTCACATATAAAGAAGTATGTATAAACTTATATATGGGAGAAAGAATCAATAGGAATTGTCATATAATAGAACTAGACATAATAGAACTGCAAAGTAGAGGTAGAACAGTAGTACCATAGATGGAGAAAGGGTCGTCCTTCATGATTTTAGAAGGTGGCCTCTCCAATTCCAAAATTTCCATGGATCTAGTCGATGATGGCCTCACCCTCCCAAACATTCTCTCTCTCTCTCTCTCTCTCTCTCTCTCTCTCTCTCTTGAAGTTTCTCAGATAAGGAAATAGCAAATGAGATTTTTGAAACCGTGGATCTTTGACGCGGCAAATGACCCAAAAACAGAAAACAAAAGAGCGGGAACCAAGTGTGTTGGTCTGGGCTAGTACTTGGGAGTTGGGCCCATATACATAAAAATAAGTCTCTAAGTGTGGCGAGTTTTAGTGAATTTATATCAAAAAATATTTTAAATATATCCGATTCGTACTTAATAAATCGTATCGTATTGAATTTGTGTTATGTATAAATTGTATATAACTGATAAAAAATACTATTTGAATCTAATTTGAGGGCCTTTTTTAATGATCTAATAATGTACAACAATTGAATTCTCCATCTAACATTAGAACATATAACTAATCCAATGGTTATGTTGAAACTACATCATTAAATCTCTAAATAAAATCTTCAAATAAGATTCTTATAATACTGCTCATAACTGATATACAAACGACACGCAGTAAATCTAAGAAAATTATCAAGTTTTCAACTTAAAAAATTTATATTCACAGTTTGTCCCTGTCCCAGACTCGCTAATTATAGATTTTTTTCTTTTTGGTTGCAAGACACAAACATAAGACAAAGTCTAGTGTAAGCATTGAAACACGAGGGAACCTTCATGTAATTACTGAAATGATTGTTTATGTTACAAGATACATGTTAGGGAGAGTCCAGTACAATTTAAGAAAACACCAACGGCTGCTTTGCACTGTCTTAATTAACAGTATGGAAAAAAGCAAGCATACGATATTAACATCATGTGCAGTAAATCAATAGAATATACACACGTATAAAAATATATATTGTATTTTACAACACAATTATATATTTACTTTCACTTTTTTTGCTCAATTTTGGAGAAAAAAATTTCAATAGAATGTAAAAAAAAAAAAAATAATCCCTCCACGTAAACTTCTATCGTCCTACTCCTTCTATCGTTTCACTTTTTCTATCATATCAAATGAAACATTTAGAGTCGCCGTAGTCTATAAAGTTCACAGTCAAATTCAAGAGACTCAAAACCCACAACCACCACAAAGCATTCCAATCAAGGTTATCATCCGATAAATTAATATCCTAAAATGCATATAAAAAACACAAAAAAATAGAGATTGATAAATTCCGAACGAAGGAGACAAAAAGACTGATTGATTACAATTAGACATCCACTTTTTTTTTTTTTTTCCCTTCTAGAATACAAGCAATTCCATGTCGAGTCACACCAAGCCTTCTTCAGAAGCCAATTACTATCTCCAAAATAACTTTCGAAGAAAACCGCGGTTACAACTTCTATTCTTCAGATCCTCATCTGAAACAGAAACATTTGAGTATATTTAATATCTAAAAACCTGCAATGGACTAAAGACCATTTATCGTGGAGTTATTCCAATTTCAGCACATATTCATCCCTTCAAGATGGAGTTGTTGCAAAACAAAGATAAAAAGAAAAAAAAAAGAAAAAACTGGATTTATAGTAAAATGTGAACAAAAACTGAAAGCATGCCAAAATCACAAGGATTCTCTCCAAACATGTTTGCACTTGACGAAAGGGACACATCCCTAAAGCAGATACACCAAACCAAGCGAGCACACACACAGGGAACACCAAAAGAACGCCAGGATACCATGATTTAATACACCAAACATGATGGGTATGGCAGCTATTACGTAGAGGATACCCGATACCATGACTTGATCACTCTCCCTCTCTCTCACACACACACACAAAAACAAGCGCGTGCACACAAACAAATTAGGCTTGTTGCAAAGGCAAGTGAAATCGGGTACTTCCATTTCTATTGGATGTCCAACTGTCAACCTTGAATGCAATGAGTTCAAAAGAGTCGGTCACCTTTTAGTTTTCCAGCAAAATACAAAGCTTCTTCAGCAATTGGTCTCCATTGCTCTGCGCAAGAGTAGTTGATTCCAAGGCCAACACTAAGTCCTCTCAACAGATGTACCGTGCGCAGCACAGAAAACAGTTCCTCTGGGAATGCCTATTATCAATGGATGACAATAGCAAAATCGAATTCTGATTTTAAGTCCAAGCACACACTTCACTTATTGCAATATACAACAAAAAAAAGACACATAGTATCATATGGAAATAACTAATGTACCAGACACAGAATCACATATGTAATATATATATCGAACCGACTTCCATTTGGTAATGGCATGAGAAGTTACTTGAAAAATCATATTATTGAGGGCTGGAAAATGTTGGGAACTAAATTCCCTTTTAGCAATAGCTCATTATATAAGCAACAATGATCATCATGTGCTGATGGAGTATTGTCGAACCACAAGCAAAATTTTAGATTGTGGAAACTTCTAGATCAATCAATGATCTTAAAGAAATTAACGCATACCTGAACAGCAATTTTTTTGATTGAAGATTCTTCTGAAAAAGGTTGCAACATGGTTACGCCAGGTGGAAGCTTCGTATCAAACATTGTCTGTGCCAATCTGAGCATTTCCTTTTGTTCATCCTCACAGTTGCTTAAAGTAGTTATGCCGAGCTCCCTGATGTTTGAGGGAAAGGGAAAGAAATGAAAAGAAAACAGTACAGAAATAGAAAGAGGATTAAGAAACAAAGTTACTAATCATAATCAGACCCAATAAGACTGTGCTCCCTCCCACTCCTGCTCGCCTTTGGCTCCCTAATCAGGAATTAGCCTAACGGCGGAGCTCTTGCTGCACTCAACTAATAATTGGTGTGTGTGTGTGTGTGTGCAAACAGAGTAGTGTATAGGATTCTTGGAAATGGTATCTTCTTCTTTTTTTCTTTCTTTTTCCAGCTTTCCATATTTGTACTCCAGAAACTCAGAATATGGAAGCCCACCATTTACCAGACATAGATGCCCTTCTCTCTTTGGAGAAACAAAAATTACAGAATAAACAAGGAATTCATAGGCAAACTTCAGTACCTGTAGCTCTCTGATGCCCTTACAGGATCATTATCAGCGATAGCAAGAACTAGATAAGCATATCCCAGCCTCAATTCTTCAGGGAGATCCTTCACTTGCCCATAGTCAAGCAAAGCAACCTAAATATAAGCAAATTAATAGTACTCCATTAAAAGTATATGAGTTGCACATTGAGCATGCCGATAAATGATACAGAGCGCATGACCCAGGATAAGAGACTGGTAGGATGGCAGCATCATATTAGGGTAGGAAATTTTAGATAACCACTTGCCTCTGAACCTTTACAGATCAGAATATTTCCAGGATGGGGATCTGCATGAAAGAAACCACTCCTCAGTATCATTTGTCCATATGCAAGCGTCAAACTTTTAAGTATGTTCCTGCATGAAGAGATAAGAAAGAGAGTAACGCTTTTCATCTGCTCAATTACTCTGTCAGAAAGACCGAAGAATGACTACGGACAAAAAGATCAGGAGACTTTCAAGAGTCGAGACTAACCAGTTAGAACTATATAAGGCAAACTTAACATCACATGAGTATTAAACCAAAGAATTATTTATTTCCAGAACCAAAAAGTCCAGACAATCAGAAGCCCCTTTAGACAATAACCTAACAGTACATATTGAAATGCATTCATGTAAGGATTTTCTGTGGTCACTGGGGCTTAGCATGTAACTTGGTTAGCAATCGTAGATCCTAAAATATTGTCCAGGCATTACTCTCAGAGATGGTTGACAAAGCACGCACATGTTACTCAACTCAACTAAACAAAACCTTGTCCCAACAATTTTGGGGTCCGCTGCATAAATCTTGTTTCACCATCATAAAAAAAGCAAATATTGTTAAGGGAAAATCTACAACGGTCCATTTCTTGGCTTGCAAAGGAATCCTCTAATAGTTGAATTACCAACAAATAATTTACATTCAAAAGAGAAATCAGAAGTTGGAATTTAACCTACGTGACCACCCATCTTTTAGATTCTTGCATTGACAATCTAGAAGACCTCATATTGGGGAAAAGTGCCTCAATATTCTGTTGGAAAGATTAATTGATCCAATCGAATGTGATTCAGCAAGCTTTGACAAGTTATCACAAGAAACGTAACTGAGGTCATTGAATTCATCACAATGACCATCATACTGATCCTCATTAGCCCTAAGGTAGCAATCAGCAAACATCATCTGATGAAGTTGCTTCCTAACACAGCCCAAGGAAGAAAATCCAAAGGAGATTTGCTTTCAAGGACAAGAAAGAAGACAAAAAGAAGTTGATTAATGGGAGGGGGAAGGGGGGGGGAGCAACCAATGAGCAAATAAAGACTTCATACTCTCTGGATAATCTAGGGTCTTACTGCTTTGCTGCTGCTGCCATCTTACCGCCAGGATTTATGCCTCTTTTTGCTATTTCGTCTCCAAGCTTCAGGATTGGGATTCCATCAATGTATTCCATCACTAAGACCCTCCTACCCCAGACAATGGAAAAATTAGCTATCAGAAATAGATAAATGCAGTTACAAAATCAGCAACATAGTGGGACAAAAGTCTACGAGGAAAGCCCACAAACTTAGCTTACTGGTAGGGCAAAAAAAGTTATATTAACGGCAATCAATCTTCTTGTTGAAGAAAATAAAATTAGAAAGCTATGATGACGAAAATAAATGATGGAAGTTAGGTATAGGTAGGGGAAAATGCATCATGTCTTGAGGCAAGTCTTAATTGCATGGGTGAAAGAAGGTTAAAAATATGACAGAATATCAAGTGGGGACTTGAGAAGTGAAATTTAATATTGAAACTGAATCAACGAGATACAATAGGGCCTCACCGGTCTGCATAAGACATGAATCTTTGTCCCTCATTCATTCTGAAATTTTTTCTTCAAATATTTTTTTTTTTTTTTGACAAGTAAAATGGCAGCACAGTGCACAAGCTTGTAGCCACCGAGAGTCAGGGAATTTCAGATGAATGCAACTTTACCCCAACATGCAGAGAGACCATTTTTACTTTTTTTTTTGACAAGTCATTCTGCAATAATTCAAAATGGCTTTCAACCCATCTGTATGCTGTGCGTTATTTCAACCTTTTTGGTCAGCAAAATAAAGTTTCTGTGACTAATGTCTATAAATGGATTAATTAACCAAACAAAATATGAGAACATATATATTCTTCTTCCTGATGATATTCGTATCCTTCCAACGTTTCTTGATCGACTCATATACCACACTCTAACTTCAGAGAGTTACTTCTATTGGGGCTTTCGACATGCTACAGGGAACTAATTGAAGTGGTATAAGCACTAATGTGATTACTCGTCCTGTTATTAGCTCTGCCAACAACATCAAAATAGCTTTCAGAAGGGCACTTATGACAGCAATCGCAATGTTTGTATTGTTGGCAACCTAAGCTAGATAAAACAAGACCAAACTGGGATCCAAGACTGACTGACAATCATGAGTCCAATGGCGTATCATATGCCAAGCTTCAAGACACATCTCAGATTCAATAATTCATACAAATAGCTATCACAACAATCCAACCAGCAGAAAGTCAAAGATAGAAAAACATCCAACAAAACAAAAGAACTGATAAATATTTGATTAAATCAAGCCACCAAAGAAAGCAAACAAATGACATTGACTTTTACTAAAGGAAATGCTCAGCTGCATTTACACATTTGTTCCACTGTTTAATACTTACCCAATATGCTCTACTGTACAGAAGATAACAATCAGTCCCAACTCTCAAATGATCAAAATAGCTCAAAGAATTCAAATTATACTCAGATTTGCCAATCCCAGCTAGAAAATCGTACTGCAGCACCACATACCTAGTGACCAAATCCCGCATTACACGTGGAACAGAAACAGGAGCCTTTTTGTTATTCCCATACAGAAAATGTTGAATTCTTTCCATAGCACTAGCCTCCCTCTCAAAGTCGAATTCATAACCAATCTTGAACCAAATAAATGAAATCAAATTATCAACCATTGCAGAGTTGATAAAGCAAAAAGAATGTTTTTGTCCACTAAACATGTGAAATAAATAGTTCATGGCATATTTTAGCAACAAAAGGTCTTGAAGATGCAATGTTTTAGTATGTCAGGAAATGGATTTGGATATAGAAGAAAACTCAATTCAGTATAAAACCACAGGCCCCACTACCATCACCAATGCTGCCAGTACCACTAGAAAAATACTTTCCTCGCTTTTTGGAAGATATATAAGCAGTTGTTTCAGGTCTAAAAAGGAAGAAAAGCGATTCCAAAATACAAATAGGTTCAATAAATGCCAATGTTTTGAGAAGACGCTCAAAAAGGAGAAACAAAAAAACTCGATCATAGATGCATCTATTAACTAGAATAAAATGAAACAGGAATTGTAGATTTATAGTACGAAAACAGAGTAACAAAAATTCATTCATTATAAATGTTGAAAACTCAATGTATAAGCTATCAACTCTCCGCTTTAGGTGATGTTTAGATAAAGTGTTATAATGTTCAGAAAAAACACTGTACTAATCATCTGAGTCACTACAAAATGAGAACTTATGTCTAACCACATCCATTCTGAATTTGGTTTTTAGCTGCCACAGAGTAACTGGCATGCATGAATCCTGATTTTAAATCAAGACGTACATCAAATGTTCTGAGTTCAGGCTAAGAGCTAGATGTACATCATGTGTTTGCAAATCAAATGTTGCAATGTTACAAACCTATGGCTCGTCCAACTGATCAATTGTATAATAGATGCATTGTTAACTTTGGAAAGAGGAAAAAGAGATGATAACAGAAAATGTTACATAACAATTCTTGATTCTAACTTTACTAATTAAATTTCTGAATTTCAATATCCTCTACTTTCCCTATTCATCTATACATCATTACCCAAAGACCGGATTAAACAAATTAATAAGTCAACACTGAAGCACTTAGTACATCATGAGAGAAGCATTAATTTAAGTCTGATGGATATAGTATGATGAATTTATGATACCAAATCAACAACTATCCCCAGGTGTACTAATGATTTCTTTGGTAAGGAACAATTATTCTTGGGTTAGTATGAAGCTACCTACATCATGTGCACGCAGTTGACACAACACAATAGCTAGAATGACATTGCAGAAATAATGTACACCTGTTTCTCCATTTCTTTAGTTATAGAGTATAAATCAAACTTGATATCTGTCTTTTGCATGTATAATGCAAAAGCTTGCAAGTTGTGGATATCTGTCATCATCAAATTCTGAACCCCAGGATGTTGCACCTATAGTACCCATGAATATTAGGATGTCACAAGCTTATCATGGCTGCAAAGAAGATGTGCAAGTTCCCTTACCTTGACAGCAACATCACGCTGACCACCTCTCAGTCTTGCTCGGTGAACCTAACCCAAATGATATGGAAGTTATAACTCCTTGTGAACACATAATGCAATGTTCAGCTGATTAGGAAAAGGAACACCCAAAAACTCTAACACAGAAAATGACTTCAATGTTCAGAATAAAATTCAGTCAATAGGAAGAGCATTTATTCGAACTATATAACTGTCAAAATAAAGATACTCGTTTCTAACCATCAATCACGAGCAATAAAAACCAGAAGAACCTTCCCCCAACCCAAACACAAAAAAGTGGGTTTTATCTCCTTTATATGACTTCAAATTCGTTTTGATTTTTGAATAACACAGCCCGTTTTGTCAATGTGGATCAGGTCCATGATGAAATAGACTCGGACAGGTCATCCTAGGCATGTGTTTATATAAACCAATACATGATTAGTAATATTGCCTTTGTCTCGATGAACCGATATAGTACAGTAATTTTGCCACTGTATCAAGGATAGGTTTTAAACTTAATAGGAATTAGGATAAAGTAGAAACAGTATTAAATAGTCATTATGCTGAAGAATAAATAAAGTGACCAGCCAATATTATGGAAAAACCAATTAAAGTCTAATATTTGAAACCCCTTTCGGGAACAAGTTTTCATGTGAAATTTGTGCTCAAGTCAATCTCCTGATTTTTATTGACTCAAGGCTTTTGGATTTTTTTCACTTATTGGGAAATCAACCAACATCCATTGTTTTATGTTCACAGCCAAACTTTTGGCCAGACCTACCTCCCGACATTGATTTTAAAAACTCCTACTTCTGGCATTTTCCAATGGTAGGCATGTTTAATCGTCCAGTGTCCCGCATCAATATTTCAAGCGGTTGACACCAAAAGGATCATTTGTCTTAATTGTCTTGTTTTAAGAAGTACTTTTGTATACACGGCAGATTTTTTTTTTCCTTCAATTTTATGTCTTGTTCAATGACATCGTATTTTTGCAGGCACCTCTTTGATCCGCTGCATTGAGCTTTGTAGAAATTTCGTCTGTTTTTTTTTTTGGTCATCATAGAAATTGTGTTATTGAGCATGCTCCTAGACAATGTTTCACCATTACCTATCAATGTTTCACCATTGCTAGAAATATCCACTTTTTAACTTCAAATTTCTTAGAGCTTCTGGCCCAGTGTATCAACCCTGAAGGAAATTGAACATGGTATCAACATTTTAACTTCTATTGTATCCTCAAAATTCAATGCAGTGGAATTCTCAGATGCTCCAAGTTCGGATTCAGCATTCTGACCCAATTTGGCATAAATAGAGGTACCTGGGCAATTGAAGCAGAACCGAGAGGAGTCGGATCAAATCTTTCAAACAATTCATCAACACTCCGACCCAACTCCTTTTCCAGCAAAAGTTGCACAACCCCATAATGGGTTGCAGGGGCTTGATCACACAGTGTAACAAGTCTTCTCACCCATGCAGCTGGGGCCAAGTCAGGCTTCCCAATTATTTGGGCAACCTAAACCAAACCACATCCAACAAAATAAATCAATTCCTCTCCATCACACATAGCATACACCATATACAAATTACAACTATCATAATCCAAATTCCTCAAAAACCCAATTCAAATTGTCAAAAAACAAACGAATACCTCCAACCAAACCCAATTAAGAGCCCACGGATGATCAAGAGCACCAAAGCAAAAAAATTCTTGCTGTAAAAGAGGGGAATCAATCAATACCTTGAGAAAAAACCCACCAAGGTCAGAGCACATATTGTAGATTTTCTCAGCCGCAACCTCATGTTGTCTCTCCCACATTGCCTCCTGCTTTTGCACATCCTTCTCGAAACTCACTCGAAGTTGAAACACCTAAAAATCCACAAAAGTTCCAAACGACAATGTCGAAATCAACTGCAATTGTAATGGAATATCTATGTAAAATACTAACTAATTCATAAATAAATTACATAAACATATGAAAAGCAAGACCTTGTAACCGGTGTAGATGTCAGCTGCACGGACCCAGAACTGAAAGGAGCGTTGCCAAGGCCTGAAGTGGGTGGAGAGCTTTTCTTGTATTTCTTTAGGATCAACGGGAAGCATTTTTTTCCTGGGTTTTGTTGCTTTATTTATTCATGACTATATAAAGTATAAACTCAATAGAACTACCGTACTGTTCTATATACAGTGTTCTATGGCCACAAGTGTATGGTTTAGAACTCGTGTAAGGAGGGCAATTTATTGTTTGTGAAGCTGTGGCTGAGAAAACAGAGAGAGTTGTGGTTTATGTACGTATTGCGAAGTATTGGAGCTCACTGTTGTAAGTAACAACTGAAGGGGATGTTTACGAAGGCGTTGCACGCCACAGAAAATTGGAAGTGAAGGAGCACCTTTGCTTGGGACGGTGGATCACTTTTCCTTTCCTTTTTAATTTGGGTTTTTTGCACGCTGAAATTGTGTACCCCCCCCATGTATGTTAAAAATATGTTACTTGTTATTTAACAACTTAAATTTTTTAATATTTAAAATGTTATACACGAACTCCTCGAAGTTTAATCACTTAGATTTAAATAATCACTTATATTCTTCAATATTTAAAATATTATACATAAACACTTGAGATTTATACGCACGTAATACTTAGACTCTACTATCAATATCCATTTGTTTATTTGTTAGTAAATTATATTCAGATCTCCTAAAATTTTTAGGCGTGTAATCCTTAGACTCTTCAAGTTTAAAATGATATACTTAGACTAAAAATACTCTAATTAAAGATAAAATTTCAAATATTTTATATTTTTACAACTAAAATTTATGTTCCATTATAACATTTATTGAAATAAAATTAAAAATAAAAATATATTTTTTTCTTAAAAAATTATAATTAGTATACAATTATACTATCTATTAGAATTTAATTTGGTTGTTTAAACGACCAAATTATCTCAATTAAAGTTACAGGTTGACCCCTTATTTAATTTTTTTTATTTTTTTTCAATAGTTTGTATCCTGGTATACTAATTATGATTTTTAAGAAAAATTAAATTTTTATTTCAATAAATGACATAATAACACATGAATTTTGGTTATAAATTTAAAATATTTAATATTCTTTCTTTGATTAGAATATTTTTGATCTAAATATAATATTTTAAACTTAAAGGGTTTAAATATTATACACTTATAAACTTTAGTGGTATAGATGTAATTTACTAACAGATATACAAGATCTAAGTGTTATACGCGTACAATCTTAAAAAATTTATATGTAATACTTCAAATATCAGATAATCTAAATAATTAAAAGAGGTCTAATTATAATCCCCCCCCCCCCCCCCTTTTACTTTTGCATGTTATTCTCTTCTCTTTCTTTTTCTTTTTCATTTTTGATATTTCCAAGTATTGCCACCTATGGTAATTTTAGGGAACAAAATACTTGCCAAGAAATGATATTTTAAGGAAAGTTGCTTTGAAATCAGCGATTCACTGATAAAAATAAAATAGCATAGCGTAGTTGGTTTATTATTAGAGTCCGAGATCAAATTGGGTTAATTTTATATTAATTTTGATTATTTGCTTGTGATGCAAAATTTATTAATGTTGAAGTAAATTGAAATTTCTTAATCTGTACCATATTAGACATTCCTTTTCTTTTGTAAAACATTTGGTGGATTATTGAAATGTTCCATTACTAATGGTATTGATATTGAGTTTTGGGGAAATAGTTTGTCCTATGATGCTAAACATTATTCATTTTAGAAAAAACTCTTCTTATTTCAATTTCACCTCTTTCAAATTACAAAATCTTTAAACCGACTTATCATGATTTGCAAGGGCGCTCCTTATTTAAACCCTCTACCCAAAGATCAAAATATCATTTTGAAATAATTTAAATGGCCGAAACGTTTCTATTATCATTTTTTGTGGGCTTTTTCATCATTATCGTGGTAATTATTTTTATCACTTTTTTAGGTATCACAAAAATAATAAATACAATTATAATAATGATAGGAACACCCACAAATATAATAAATTTTGATATGGTACCAAAATTTTTCGATAGCATAGTCTAAGTCCTAGAGATGTATCACTTTCAAAGCTATTTGTGGACCCCTTTAAGAAACTGCAAGGATGCTTCTAATATCCTGTGATGAATCAACACATTTTGTTTTACCGATTGAGCTACAATCATGCAAAAAGAACTTGTAGAGTTGTCCCAGTTTGTAGCTAAGGTGATAGACAGATAGATATAAAGCAAAAATGTCATGTAGCAACAAAAAAAGCTTTACACATGAACCCAAGTGGATGGCACATACGGCTAGCACCCGCTTGGAGGTTCTGAGTTCGAGTTTCCCAATCCTCCCGGGAATTAATCTCCATAGTTCAAAAAAAGATGAAATTGATGAGGAAACAATCGGTGCACAAGTCCATCAATCTGTATTTTTGCTTAAATAGGAGGTTTAAGAAACATAAAACTGTAACATTGAGTGACGGTTCATGTAACAGTCCTCAAGTGGTTCGAAAATGAATATTAATGAAGACAATGTACATGGCTCGATGCTTCAGTTTTTTGCAGCTTGCTATATTGAGATTTTTGACACAAGTAATCACCACAAGACTATCAGTTGACAGTCTGCAGCCTTTATGTTACTTATCTGCATTACTCACATAATCTGACAACTGATCGGTTATGGTTGAGTTTGAGACAAGTTTTTTGGTTTGTGAGCTTCAAGGACATATTGTCAATGTTATATCCAAAAATGGGTAATGCTATTGGGACCTTAATTTTGGACCTAAAAAAGGGAATTGATGATGTGGCAGCTGAGGTGTCATTACCAACTCAGCAATTAAGCCACCTAATGTCTTAAAAAAAAAACTTAAAAAATCAAAAACTTAAAAAAATCGATCTTCTTTTTGAGAAAATTTGGTAAGAAAATAAGGCGGTTACGGCTCAAGGAAGGAGATGCCTCTGCTATACAAAAATATTTCTTAAAGATGCAAGCTAAAAATGAAAATTTCTTTTATACAATGGATTTGGATGATGAGGTTCGGTTAAGGAATGTGTTTTGGGCTGATGCGAGGAGTAGGACAGCATATCAAGAATTTGGTGATGTTATTACATTTGATACTACATATTTGACAAATAAGTATAATATGCCCATTGCTCCATTTGTAGGTGTCAATCATCACGGGCAATCGATTTTGCTGGGATGTGGTTTGATCTCCAGTGAAAACATAGAAACATTTATTTGGCTGTTTCAATCGTGGCTTGCATGTATGTCTTGAAAAGCTCCACATGCCATAATTACTGATCAAGACAAAGTCATGCAATGTCTTGGAATTTTTGTTTTTTTATTCAAAAGTTGAGTTTTTGTTCTTAAACTTGAATCAACCATTCATTGTACTATTTTTTTTTTCCTATAGTAGGTACAGAAAAGAGGAAGATTGTAGTATTTTGTGTCCACTTTGGATATTTGTAATACAATTCAATTGTAATACAATTTAAGGGTTCCTTGGATTTGTGTGGTTGTATGAATGCTACTGGTTTGTGTGGTTCCTGAATGTCTAATGTGATAGTTGTATGAAGCTACTGGTTGATAATATGATAGTTGTATGAATGCTACTGGTTGTATGAAGCTAATGTGATAGTTGATTTTTTAGCATCCTTAGCTGTTCATAATGGGATTTCTACTGATTTTCTGGTTGTGGTATCTTACCACTTGCTGGAAGGATGTTGTTACAGAGGGATCAAAATTTACTGCCTACTGCCAGATTAAAAAGGGTTGTTAACAAAGGTATTTTTCCTCTTTAATGACTCATGATTGATGCTTAGTAGGTTTTTCCAGGCATTGTAGTTGAACAGAGGTTTTCAGAGGCACCGGAGTTACATCTTGTGAGTTAGCTTGCTTATTTTGGTTGGCTTTGGCTTGTATTATTTTTGCATCCAATTAGGGAACAGTTTCACCTGACTGGAAGACTTTTTTTTTTGAATATGTGAAATTGATTTACTTAATTAAACACTTGCAACAATGTTGATTAGAAAGTCCTGAATTGCTGAGTTTGGCTCTAACGGAATTTTGGAGTTTCCGTCTTGGTTCTATCATATGGCTCACTATTTCTACTCCCCGGGCTCAAGGATTGAATTCGCTTAACAGAATTTTTGCTTCCTATTTTTTTTTTTAATTGTGAAATTCATCATGACATTGTGTATGTTTTTACTAGAAGAACTTCTTGTATTTGACATCCCTCACAATGCTTTTTGTTGTTACTATTCATAACAAATGTCCTGAAGTTTCTCATAGCTTGCAGCATGGCTTGAAGTTTAAAAAACTTTTAATATAAAATGTGGTGTTTGACTTGATTGGGGTACAGGATGCTGCCTGACATTTCCTCTCTTGCTTCTGTTGGAACTGGTCATGCATTTGATTTGCCTCAAAAAGGTAGAGGAATCAATAGCCTGAGAGACTTTGTACACACGTGTAGTGATCATCCTCTAACATTATTGTCATTAGCCTTCCTGACTAATCTCTGTGATGAGTTGCTCGATAGGAATTTTAAACTGTTTTGTCTAGTTTTTGGCATCAGAATTCTGTTTTGTGCTTTAACAGTTTTTTCTGTTTTTGTTAAAACAGTTGCTGTTTTTCTGTGAAAACAGTTTCTGTTTTTTGATTCTCGTAAATTTGAGATTTGTTCAATAAAATTCTCTTTTCATAAAAAAAAAAAAAAACTGATTGGTGGAGTTGTTCCTTTGATTTTTCACTGGCAATGATCCTTCCTCCTCAATTTTGTTGTACATTGTGCATTGATCTTGTATACTTGAGTGGTTGCTTCTTTTTTTTTTTTTTTTTGGGTAAAGAAATTTTTTTATTGATTTGAATCAAAGATTACAAAAATCAAACTGCAACAAAGCATTACAACAACCAAGATCTCTATCAAAGAATACAAAACTCAAATGCATCAAGGCATTTTTACAACCATGTAAGCCATTTCTTGGCTTTAATCCTTCAAAATCTCTAGCTGCCACCAACATTAATCTCAGGCAACATTTTTCCCAAACAGCAACCCATCAGTTCAAGAAAAACAATAATCCCAGGCAACATTAATCCCAAGCAACATTTTTCCCAAACAGCAACATTAACCCCAAGCAACATTAATCCTAGGCAACATTTTTCCCAAACAACAACTCAGACAATTCGTCGAACAGTTTGTAAGCGAAACCAATCTTGAGACTCCTACACAGACTTTTCCTCCCAAAATACCCATTTTCATCAACAAATCAGTTCAAAAAAAATATTCATCCGTAACTCATAGGGCTGTTGATATGGTGCTGGACAATGGGTTGGTTGACTGCTTGTGGCTCGTTGGTTTACTGGGCAATGGGTTGGTTGACTGCTTGTGGCTCGTTGGTTTACTGGACAATGGGTTGGTTTATGAGAAGGAAGAACATCGTTCAAGTTGGTTTTTTCCGGAGAAGAAGCTTGTCGTTCATGCGGCTGGCGTCGATTGAAGATTAGCAATTGAGGCACTATGTCGAAGTTCAAGAGGAGGAGAACAGCGTCAGTTTACTGCTTGTGGCTCATCATTCAAGTGGGTTTTTCCGGTGAAGAAGCTCGTCATTCATGCGGCCGGCATCAATTGACTGGCTCGGGGAGAGAGAATGTGAGAAGAAGGCTTTGGGGAAGAAATTTTAGGGCTGGATCGGGAAGAGAGAATGTGAGAAGAAGACTGATTTTTTTAAGTTGTTGATTTTTTAAGTTTTTTTTTTTTAAGACATGAGGTGTCTTAATTGCTGAGTTAGTAATGACACCCCCAGCTGCCACATCATCAGGTCCCTTTTTTAGGTCCAAAATTAAGGTCCCAATAGCATTACCCATCCATAAATAGCAAGTATGATCTGCCTGTGAAGTGAGGCCAATATTCATCTCAGAAAAATGTCATGGAGTCACATGAACACAGCACATTATCTACACCATTTAAACGGCTGATTAACATTTCACTTCATACTTACCCAAAAACCTTTCACTACATACAGAACAATCGAGTAGCTCAAGCAGAGTAGTATTTGCTAGAGAAACTTGCAACTAAGACTTTCCAAGAAAGATTAGTTGAGATAGATTACAAAACATTGTCAAACTATCCTATTATGGCCCACAATATCTGGAAAATCAGTGAGTGTTATACGGTCTTTCTTTTTCACATTTCAAGAATCCAAGCCAAAAGTCAAAACCCACTTTACGAACCTTGTCAGCATTTGTACAGTTGTGCCTTGTCTCAATCAAGGTCAGCAATAGGGAAGTTCTACGTCGAAAAATTCCCAGTTATCATCTTCTTCATCTTTCTTCTTTTTCTTAGAGGCTTCTTTTTCATCCTGTTGCTGAGCTTTTACTTGTGGGCGTCTGATTATGAAAGGAAGAAAAAGAAATGATATAACATGCACGACGTCAAGACCAAAAGAAAAAATTGGATGTGAGCTTTCTAATTGGCAGGGGAAAAAAAAAGAAACATAAGTGAAAGATGAGCACAGGAAAAACATAATGGAAACTGGCGAATAAGCAGAGGTGTAATATATACTGAAATTTGCTAATTTTACTAGAGTATTATGAGATGTGAATTTCAGGGAACAATAAAAAATTCTAAATGCCACATTTGTTCAAATTGTTGAAGTGATTTCCCCTGTGGAACCCTGATATCTGCAGTAAGGCAGAAAGCATTTTTTGACAGGAAGAAGGTGCCAGGTTCGCGATCAAAAACCACTGGTGTATGGCAAGAAAGGTGGTTGCTGGCCCTGCCATATTAAGGTCGAGATGCTTCTGTCAGCAGTAGAGAAAATCCCATATTGATAGAATCGAAGGTGAGTTATTTTTTTCGGTGGAAGAGGCTGAGGCCAGGGATGGATTCAATCAAATTCGCCTATGGGTGGCCTTAATTTTTGAAAAAAATCTTTGGGGAGGGAGAGGAGGGCTTATATAGTTTGAGAGTACTCATGGCTAATAAGTAATAACACTATAATAGGAGGGATGTTCCAAAAGAGGGGCAATAGATCACCCCTCCTCCCTTTTCCCCACCCAAAAGATCCATCATTGACTGAGACCACCAAAACCTATTTCCTGGGCGATAGGCGTGGACTTTATGTCTTGCAGTCATTGTTGGAAACCACTAATTTGTGCATGTGAAGTGTGGCTATTGCTAAGCACTGCCTTTTTGGCCAAGTCAGAAGTGGCAAAAACTAGCATCTCGCTACATCGCTCCAACCTGGTTGTGGGAAGGAAAATGGAGTATCTACACTTGTTAATGTATTTCAATGCACCTATATGCAAGGTCAAAACCGAACAGTTCATCGCTAAAAAGGATGATTAAGGTTGTTTGGCCAGGTTACAACTTCAATGGTAGTCTCCTTTCACTTGCATGGCTTGGGAAGAGATAGAAGGATTACTTATATTAGCTTGATTCCATTTTATCAGCGTGACAGTTTGATGTGAATCTTATGATCAAGTGAGTACAGACAGATATTTAGGGCGGATAGTCATGTTAGGTAGGTATTTGAGACTTATGCATCTCAAACACTAAAGGCTTTTACTTCACATCCATAATAATCTTCACTTTTGAACACATATTTAATTGTCCTCAGATACTCCTAAAGAAATGTTTGATGTGCCGTTAACATCAAGAAGTGATCTTTGTAATGCAAAACGACACTACAAACACAAAGCATAAGAAGTCTTTTGACTTTCATTTGGGCCATCACGGTTTCTTTTTTTGGGGGGGAGGGGCGATCCTATATTTGAACTACTAAGGCAGAGGTAACACAGAGGCAAATCTAGTCCGTCTATAGCCTATATCATAGCAAAGAGTTATCTCACATCCAATATACGAATAAGAAAATTATGATCTCAAACAAACTTGTAAAAATTCACCATATATATCATCATATGCTTGCTTAAAAAAGAAAAGGACAATTCATATGAGGTGTCATCTCCATAATCATATTCAAATTTATCATAATATGTCATATTGGTTTCTTATGTTCATAACGTGTTCTATTCGTTTCCCATGTCTATTACCATAGCTTATGGTTTGCAAAAGTCACAGTCAAGTTCATTATAAGCTGAAGACATATTCAAGTGGGGAAACCAGTCCTCCTTGATTGGCAATTGGGTTTGTTGATTAATCTCCGAATGAAAGTGTTCCACATTCCTCCCTTGACACTGGTTGCTCATTCACGACTTGGTTCGATGAACTTCAATTGCCACAAATTCTTTGACATTCGATTATTACAAACTTAACTATACAATTATTGTTAAAGATCAATCACCATAGAGCTCTTATCAATAGGCGCGGTCCATTATTTCACGTAGATTCCATTCTAAAGTTTAAATCAGCTCCTAATCGATCATTTTTACAAGAACTATTCTGAGAGAAAGACCCAAAACAAGTCCAAAACACCATCCAAAACCCCAGAATTACAAAATTACCAAACAATGAGATAAATAAAATTAATCTCCAACGCATACCCAAAACATCACAAATCGCAACTCATACTGATGTAAAACCACAAGTGTAAGGACAGAATATATGTGGCTCTAACCTTTTGCGGTTACGTTTGGAAGCTTCACGAGCCTTCCTTTTCTTCTTCTCCTGGGTGGTCTCAAAGAACCTCCGACGCTTGCTTTCTTGGATGATACCAGCCCTGAAAACTTGCCGACGGAACCGTTTGAGTAGCTCCTCTTCGGGCTCGTCTTCCTTCACTATAATCTGAACATTGTATGCCGATTTGAAGAAGAGGGTGTTCGAATATGCAAGCGATGGGCACAGCACTGACACCAAATCAGAAGATAAAGAAAAGTGAGGAGATTCTTTCGGAATCACAGGAAGTAACCCATCTCTGGTTTTGATTTTCTGGGACAGTGGGGCAGTTGGTCGTGGGTCTGGTGGCAATGATGAACGAGAGAGGAGAGAGAAAGAGGAGAGAGGGAGGGTGAGTTGGGATGGTGGGGATATGGTGGGGAGGGTGCTTGGAGGAGAGATAAAGGAGAGAGGGTTGCAAAGAGATGAGCACACGGCCATTAATGGATCTGATGGTTACATCTGGGTTTTGAAGAAAGGTTCTTGCAGGGTTTTTCGTTTTCTTTTTTTGTTAACTTTTGCTTTTCTAGTTTTATTCTTCAATCTGTCTTGTTTTTCTCTTTTTTTTTCCCTCCTTTTTTTTCAATTTAAGGACAATTTTTTTTTTGATCAAATCTAAAGACAGTTGAAAGTTCAAATTCGGGAATTAATTTCTTGAAATATGGGAGCTATAGTTTTGATCAAATTGCTGGTTTTTTTTATTTTGTTCTACCTCTATCATAATCCGCTCCTCGTTAATCTCTTCTCGATCCAATAAAAACAGATTATTCACGCTGAAATCAGAATCTCTCGTGACCAAACTTTAAGAGATTGTCAATATTCAAATTCAAGACATAAATTTACAACTTATATCTGTTACTATTTGAACTATCCTTTAGCTATAAAAAACTTATTGTTGACACCGTTCTTTTCAATGTAAAAATATTCCCCAAAATAGCAACCAATGAAAATCCTTAAAAGGCTGTTTTGCAAACACTTTTTTGAGTTACAAAATATGAGTTTAGATCATGATTTCATTGGAAAAAAGTTTTAAACATTAATTATAAGACATTGTACAAATATAACAGCATCAAAAAATTACAGTACAACCATTAAACAAGGATATTTTTCAAAATGAAAAATCATTTACACAGCCTCTAATTGCAATGCAAACTCCGAACATATATAATTACCCACAAATCATACACATTGATTTTATGTGACCAGTGTACTCAAACTCGAGACAAACTGAACTCTCTCTAATCCCTTGTTGGATCACTGAATTAACTATAATGCCATGCTAGTGAACAACCAAAAACTGTTTCTATCTTTTAATAGGACAGAGCTTTAAGGTTTGGATTACAGGCATTCCGAAGCTACTACATCCAAATGCACAGAAAATGTAGCATGCTTGGATTAGAGACTTCAATACCTTTAAGTTAATGAAAATATTTACTGAAGAACAGAGAGACTGATAAAAAATACAAATTCAATGTTCTTCAAAAGCTTCAAAACAAACATAACTGCACCACTGCTCCCCTGTACAATAACCCTTCTTACCACTTTTTTTTGTATGGTAAAGCTGGACTTCACAATTGATATCATCATTGGGGCTCAATTTGCAGGTGTGTGGAAGTGGCATGCTACTATGAATGCATTGGACTGTACAACAGGCTTACCAGAAGTAGGATCTACCAAATTCAATATTCCACAATTGAGTGCGGGATTTTGATTGTACCCTTTGGAAGATTTGAAGGGAGAGCAACACTCTTAAACTTGGATGCGCTTTCTGCTGATTCTATTGCTCGAGAAGCTTGCAGGGCCATCTCAGCATGGAGTTGGAGACATGTCATAGCCATCTGAGGTGCAAAATGAATTAGTAGGTCATGTGCGCTGTAGAAAGTTCAAACAAATTTTCAGAAATATAGACCCAGGATGTGAAGAAAAAGCATTTAGTACTGGGAAGAGAGCCTCTACTCATCCACATACAAGGGAACTGGTTGAAAGATTTTAGCATAAACCTACTTTAGTATCAGTCCAACAAAAATAGGATACACACACAACAAACAACATATAGAATTGCAGTGTAGCCAAATCATAATCTTCAGATAGCCGACTTGCACTGGCAAAGCGTAAATTAAGAGATGGACGCAGCCACCAAGTTAGCAAAAGATGACGAGAAGTCATCCAACATGGTATTGCAAAAAGCAATAAAGAACCAAGAATCCATCCATATTGCTGAAGTGCAAGAAAAGATGCATGAGACCTAACAAAGCATATGACCCCAAAACAGAAACAAGAGGCCTGGGGTGCTGCAAAGTTTGTCTGCGAGAACACACAAAAATATCGAGAAAGCGACAGAGAAAGATAAAAAAGAAATAAAATTGATTCCTTTTTGCTATTGACTCGTTTATATTGAGGTAACATGAAACTGGGTACTAGAAAATGTTGTTCACGGATAAACTGACAGGTTTTATTGGTAAACAAGTGCTGTTGTGAACTGCCCTTTCTTTCCTCCTATAAGAAAGCAAAAGCTATAATTGAGAAAGAAAGTAAAAGGAGGAAAAGAGGAAACCTTTTAAAAGTTACAAATCACAAGAAAGAAATAGATCATCAGCAACCATCAAACCACATGAATACATTGGATAGATCTGTTTAGGCAGCATAAAAACAACATGGAAATCCTCTTATGGCAAGGAACACCTATTACTCTGTTAGCCAGAAACTCGAGTTCCCATTTGCACCTTGAGGCACAAAACAAGCTTTTATTGATGGCAAGGCAAAAAGAAGTTGCCTAATATCACCAAGCCATTCGTATATTGATGATGCAACCAGCAAGAAGCAATTTTGTCTAAAAAAGAATCACCCCAGGTTATGAGGAATTTGATGTAAAAAGGACCAACAATGATGAAAGAGGAAGAGTAGGAGCTAATTCCGAATGATCGTGTTGAGATTGTGAGAAAATGATGCGCTTATAGTTTAATCAAACACATGGCCTAATTATGTGGAGCAAAAAGAACGTAAAACTTTTATGTAAGTTGCCATTAAGTCGTCAATGGAATTTACACAAAGCACCTGGTACATTCTAGTACATTATCTACAAGTTCAAACTTCAAACAATACAGCTTATGCATTATCACCAACAAGCAAGAAACAAAATGTATGATGGGGAAACAATATAAACACAAAATATGTGTTTTCAACTAAGCTCACGATTTCTTGCTTACTGTGTAGCACTCTCTATCCGTGTCTGATTCTGCGACATGGAGGGCCCACATGCGAATCCACTCCAGTCCTTTTGAAATTTCAAATTTTCCTTCAACCAGGGCAGATGCTATATAAGAGGGATGAAGGGCCACTAGTATGCAAGAAGCTGCAAAAAGAACAGATCTTCTAACATATGCTTCGACGTGATGGGAAATCTCCCTGCACGGCAACAAGGGCACAAGGCTCAACGACAACATCCAAAAAACTAAAAAAAAAAGGCTCAGTGACAAACAAATGATATCTACCAATAGGCAAACCAGCAATGACACAACAAGGCAGGATTGACATGCTATGTGATACACTTTATTTATTTAATACATCTTTTAGGTAGTATATTCCTCACAAGCCAGGTCAAAGGGTTGGTTGCACCTGCCAACGGACATGAGCAATCAATCCACAAGAACAACATTTAGGAAATCAAAGTGCATAACCTTCAGTACCTGGAGCTTAACATATCCAGAAGGGGGGATACCAAAGCAGATGCTTCTGGATGCATGGATGCACATCTTATACAAACACCAAGCATATAAATAAGTTTCCCCAGTACAATAAAGTCCCTACCAAGCAAGTCAACCCCGTGCCTTTTCTTATCAAATCCCTGCATGGCTGGAAGCATAAATGCTGCAGCATACTGGGGAAACTGATTCTGAGACCATTCCAGCTGATTTTCCTGTATGTTTGCTGATCGGATGCTCCATCGGCGTGTCTTCCCTATATTGACCTGACTTGGTTTAGTTGGAAGTTCTCTTTCATAAGAGTAAGACCAGTTCAACGGAGTTCCTGATCCTGAAACCTCTTTCCAGGAACCTGCCCCAGGAGGCCCTGTAGTACTAGGCATAAACCACGGTTGAGTTTCCGAAATAGTTGAAATGAGAGCCCTTGGCAGAGTTTTTGGTTTAACGGATCTTGCATCAGTAAGTTCCTGAGCAGCATTAGTCATGACATCAAGAATCATTATCCGTTGGCTGACATCAACATTAGGTGAATATAGTAATTTGTTTAGAGTATCAAGGGAGTAAAAGGGACACGTGACAATCAATGCCACCAGTGCCTTTTGCCTTTTCTCTTCGGCTGATTCTTCTTCCCCTTCTATAGTCAAATCAGAGCAACGAACCTGCACGAGGGTTCTGACCAAATCACCTGCTACATATCTAAGTTCATCTGGGGAGGCTCGAACAAGCTTTTCAGCAACATAAAGGGCTCTTTCAACCTGAAAGATAAGATAGGTGTGATTAACTTGTGCAGGGGGAATCTTCTTTTACCAACTTCTCAAGTAATAGCCCCAACGAAATCTGATGTTTACTGAACATAAAAATGGCAGCTTGCTGAGGATAGATGAATGAATAAGGAATAATGGCTTCTATGTGGGAGAATTAAGCATCCAAACCACCTGTACTAGGTAAGTGCAACCATCTATTTCACTGACTTTTTGCAGAACTAGGGTATCGATTACGAGATTGTCTGTCATCTAATGTAAATTTTCAATTCAGAGTGCTAACAAATGAATTCTGTGATTTCACAGGAAAACAAAACGAGTAAGTTAGAAATTTACTGTCAAAAGAACCTTGGGAAGAAGGAAGATCAATGAATATGAACAACTTACACCATCTGCATCATCGGATTTTCTTATTGCTCCAACAACATCAACCAACTGCGAGAATTTTCTTTTCAAATCTGCGTCATCATCTGATAAGTCATACGGTTGTAAAGAAGAGTCACTCGAGGTTTCAGAAGTCTCACTGGCATCCTCATCATATTCGTCATCAGAAACAGACTCAGTATTCAATGTTGTCAGATCAATAATCTCATCTGGATCAATCAACTTAAATTCAGACAGGTTCTTATTTTTACCCTTCAAATCCTTGTCCACACCAGCCGTATTGTTAAATTTCTTATCAGATATCATCATATAGTGCCCTTTGTCTTCATTACCCTTTTCTGTGCTATGGGACAAAGCAAGCATTCCTTTCTCAGGAGTTGGTAACCCAAACTCCCAGTCAATGTTCTCCTCGCTGCAGATATCATCAAGATACAAAGGATTCTTTGGGTCAATTACTTTAGAAAATACTAAAGCAATACTGCTAGCCATTTTCCGGACCAAATAGACAGGGCTCTCGAGCCTACCTGCCAGCCACCAGGAAAAGATGTAAAAAGATCGATAATAATCAGTCACTCAGACAGCAAGACAATCTACAATAGCAAGGGAACAAGATTCTACAGCTAACTCCTTGAAGGACTGACTGCATTGCATCCTTGGTTCTGTCCAAATCTTCTTTCGACATCTTCTCCAGGGAAAGCCCTACAGCTGCGGTTATGTCTGAATTATATAAAGGGTATACAAAAGCATCGAAGTAAAAAATGGAAGAAAAAAGTGGAGCATGGTCCAAATCTCTGCAACGCTCATAAAAAGAAAATGTTGCATGGTTTCCTCCTTTGCAACAGGTTAAACAAAAAACAAAATCGATTGCCGTGATATACTATGAATATCACAGGTCTTGCTCCTTCTAATAATTGACCCTATCTCCAAAATCTAATGGGTATTTTTGAGTTATGAATCTGAAATTAAAGGTAAGAAAGGATACAAGCTTGATGCTCAATTGGTGCTGATTGCACAAATTCTCGTCTGGACCATACTGCCAAAAGCCCTTGCACTGTATGCAAAAGACCATGTGAATTATGACCTTTTGAAAGCGAAGTAGTACCAGGAGGGCACTCAAGAACAGAAAATTGAAGGATCCATCTCAGGCAGCAAACAGGGAACACTTTCCGGAGTAAAAATTTTTCAACAAACATGGACCTGAAAAGGGAAAAAAGTTGAGAATCAAAACCTTGCATGGTAAAAGATAAGCTGAACATGTTTATGATGGTTGTAATGAAGCCCTTTTCCATTGTAAAAATAAGGACATGCTAACCCAACAGTCTATTTGACCGGGCACTGCTATGAACCACACTCTCAAACAGGTGACGTTTTGTGTACGACCCCGACACTCCTTGGACGCGTGTCCGATACGCTTTTATCCGTGTCCATAACTAAATGATAAAATTTTAATTTCAAACACGTTTCCAACACTTCTTTAGACCATGTCTACTATAAACAATAAACATGAGTTTCCATCTAATTAAAAAAAAAAAACTTAAAAAGAGAAAATAAAATTAACAAGACTAGATATGATAAAGTCTTACTCAAAATCTGTACTACTTATTTTATCCCTAATTATTCCTATAAAGCCAATTATATCCCACATATCCTTATCAATATCATTTTTTTCCTTCTATGTCCTATTTAGCCTATAAATTTCATTTGAAACAAAACTACTTATACCAAATAGCATTAAGTCTCTAACCATTCACTCATTTTTATAGCATTAGATCTTTAATTACAATTGTAACTCTAAGAACTCCAATCATTACATAATACACGTACGTAAATAGCATGATCCAGAATTTTATTAACATGTAGTTGCCAAATTGGATTCTACGGTCAAACATATGTCATATTTTATTTTTTGGTATGTAAAAATATTATAATATTAATTAAAACAATAATATTACAATCTAATCAATCTCTTTGTTAATAAAATATAATTAGACGTTCAAATATTCAAGAGCAAAAATTTGTATGCTCCGCTATAAACAAAAGACATATCTCAAGGGGCCAAAGAGATACCTAAAAAAAATGACAGTCTGGGTAATCCAAGAGGAGTAGAATAGATCAATAATTAGATTTAGCAATAATGAAAATAAGAATTAATTATTCAACATATAATTTATTATTCAATCTATTTACAAATACAAGTTAATTTTAAAAAAAATATTATTTAAATATATTAACGTACAACGCACGTCGTGCATTACTAATATAATAATAAACGCAAAAAATACATAAAAGTTTTAAAAAGAGGAATTGAAAACATGAGAGCAAACATTTAAATTATATATGTTGGTACACGTGCCTTAGTCTAAAAATTTATACTAGAAAGTACTAAATTTTTTAATGAATAGCATATCATTATCACTAAATTTGCAATAAATTGTATAATATTTTGTATATAAACCACAACCATCTGTAGTGTGTCCCCAACATGTGCATGTCCTATTTTTTTTTTTGACAAATGTCGTGTCGTGTTATCAGTGTCACATGTCTATGTCCATGCTGCTTAACCAGGCAAAGTTGGGACTTCTTTGTTGCCTGGTTTGTCTGCTGATGCATGGTATGATGATCAGATCCAAGGAAGCTTGGAGCTCATGTGCATGTACAAGTTGGAAAAGCAAGGGATCATTACCCAGTTTGGTTGGGTGGCCTGGGTCCAGAGACTTTTGCCATTATTTGAAGAAAGAAACAACCTTGAGATTTAATAAATCCATCACTTTCATGTGCAGGAATGAATTTACGAACCTGATTGATGTCTGATGCTCACAAACCCTATGAAACAATATCCAAAGAATCCAGTACGCTTCAACATCGCTTGCATTTAGAGTAGCTAGCTGATGCAGTAGCTGTTCAGACATCCTTTCTATGGCATAGGGGTCTTTAATTGCCACCAACATGTTCAACCAAAACCGGAGACCAGGCCTTGACTCAAATGCTTCACTAACTGCCCTGTCACTTGTGGGCAATAAGAAGTTCCGAACCTGCTGAAGAATCTGTGTGATCACTTCACTTAACAGCACATCTGCAAAAAGGAAGTTGTTAAGCGATTCACATTCTATGTTAATATGCTTGACAGGATGAAGGAAATCTATTGTATCTTACTCTAAAAACAACAAAAAATTTTGTCCAGGAGTATTTTGTCAGGCTGGATTTCACCAGGTCAGGAAACCACACTCATAACATCTGTTAGTCTACAGCGAGTCCTCATTAAATGTAAAAAACATTTTAAAGACTTATGGACACTGCAGAAACACACAAGTGCCCACACAGAAGCAAACAGTTTTTGAGAAAAATTTGAAGGTCCAAATGATAATGGTTACAACAAAAAGAAGCATATGTTGAGATGGTATGCAATCCCATTACCTGCAGACCCTCGACGACAAATGCGAGCAAATACTTCCCCAATAAATGAGATAAAACCATCCACGCCACCTTTATTGACCATGGCTGCTTCATGACATAAGTTCCTATCCCATTCTTCTGCTCCAGCAAGAAGCTGTATGGTAATCTGCTTGAAGAACAAACTGAAGATCTCTGGTAAAGAATAGACAATACCCCAAAAAGGTATAACTGATGCAGATATACACCAGCACAGGTCTTGTTAGTATCAATTCCAAATACGTTGGAGGTTCGAAACCTGAGAAATGGCCCTCCTCCATCACTCGTTAACTGCATTAACTACTTTTGTTTTCTGACCATATCATGGCAAGAATGTGGCTTTTGTGCTCATTTTAGTACAAATTGGAATAGGTAAACATGTTCAAATGCAGCATCCAATATTAACTCGGGAAAGCACCTAACTGATGTTGACTGCGTTTTAAGTCTCAGAAACATTGCAAACACGCACACACACTTGCGCACTACCACTTACAACCAATTTTTAGCACAAGAAATAATTGAGGATACTGTGATGAAAGTGTCGTTGGGGCTCCCACTTGTGCTTTGTCAGGAATGGATGTAACAAATTGTGCCATCCTTGAGATATCTGGCTGGATCTGTTTATTACTAATATCTTCAAAGTGGCTAAACCCAACAAGTTCACTGGCCATGCGTACTATTCCGTCATTTTCAAGCAAGCAAAGTACAAGTAACCTGTCAAAAACCTCAAAAAATGTGTTAACCAATATAATATTTGCTGGCTATACAAACTGTAGCCAAACATGGTTACTGCAGTATCATTGAATGTCTTGATTGCTTCAATTTTATATTACATAGCCTAGCCAGTGGGCATCAGTTGCATGCTTGGAGAAAAATGGAGACGGGTTCACTGGACATGCTGTTAAAGAACACTGCCAAGGGAAGGCGCAAGGGCCAGGGTAGGGGGAGAGAGCTTGAATATCACATGAAGCAAAAGACTGACTCAACAGATTAAGTACTTCGTTGTTAGATAGTTTGTGCCAATACCAGACGAAAGATACATTGCATCTGAAAGGAAAAATAAGATACAACTTGAGTCTACAATTTCACTTGAAGCCTATCATACATGAAATTCAAAGTCAATTTTTATACCAGACCATATTTTCTCTTTGAAAATCAGTCCATATAAACAAAACCATATAGAGGTGCGAAACAAAATCATATACATCCATGACAATGAACAGAAAAATTGCGGCTTTGTTAATAAAGTAGTGCCATTCTTCACAAAAATAATGATATTGAAACAATTGTGCTTCCACATGCTAAATGAAAATAACAATGTCACTTACAGTTAATAATCTGCAAAAAATAGTCATGTATGTCTATAAGTGTGCTTTACTTAAAAACATAGAAATATATATACATGTGTGTTTGTGTGTGCACGCGCGCTCAAAAATTGTGGGTTAGTGTCACAATTTCCCACCAAATGATGTGCAGCATGAACAGAAGACCCCAATCCTCAAATACAATGAACTGGGGATAGAGAAAGCAGACTTTACAAGTTTAGCATGTGATGTAGTATAATTTTTACCTCTCAGCATTTGAACAGACAGGACTAATCTCATGTCTGCCATTTCCTTTCTGTTGCAGACAAGAAACTAAAGTCTGTACAACCTCGGTAACACGCCCACGGACAAAGAACACATCATAAACATGTTTCCTCGTAGAAATGGGGAAACACGCTAGCCAATTGGAAACAACATCTGCAAGTAATTTGTTCTTATTAGAAACGATGGACATGCATACCATGACTGTCAAATCTCCAAATATGCAACGTCTCAAGACCCCAAGTACTAGAAAAGCAAGAGAACCCATTCCAATCTTCTGAAACAAGTAATTATAAAGTCAACTAATCCCAAGCTTTAACTTGTATGAATATCCTATTAAAGCAAAGGCACTTCCCTTATAATTTTTAGAAACAACGTGGCTACGATAGGCATATTTATGGGGCAGCTTTCTCTTTTAATGTCTGTTAGCCACATCTCTCTCTCTCTCAAAAAGCCTATATCAACAGCTGAATTTGTATGACCAATGAATTCCAAAATTTGCATGACCACTCGAGTGAAAGGCCATTGTCTAACGGCAGTGCCAAAAACTATCGGAACCTCCAGAAAGCCCACTTTGTGCAAATAATGACAATAGTTAACTAGGTGTCCCATCCGCACTCAGAAGTTATTAAAGATTTCCAAACTGTCTTTCTTTTATCCAATGTAACATAAAAAAAAAGCTTCTAACAGCCCAAAACACCTCGAGCAGCCTTTCATAGTCTGAATCTTAGTTGATTAGTTGAAACAAATATCAGAAAGACCATGAAAATGAGGCTACTTAACTTCATACAGAGAAATGAAAGACCAATGCTTTCACCCATAGAAAACAAGATCAATACACATAGACACAAAAGTGATCTCCAATGATGTTGATCAAGTTACCATATAACAAAACTCTCGCCAGTGTCGGAAATGAAGCACCTCCATAGAACACCTGCCACCAATTACTCCTTTCGTCCGTAGAAGGCACTTCAGCACCCAGTACCTTATTCAACCAAAACCCTAATATAGTTTTCAAATTTCGTAGACCCAAAGTATGTATAGATGATTTTAAACATCAAAATTACCAGAATTTACACATACACACCTCATCTCTGTACTTCTCATCGATGCTACCTACAATTCGAACCACCAATTCATCAACATTAAGCATAGAATAAAAAAACAAACACCAAACGATTATTTCTCTTCTTTTCCCTCTATTTTCTCCGGAAACAAACAGGGTTTATGGTAAGAAAAAAGTAATTGAATTTTAGTGTTGTCCTTCGGAATGACCTGAGAGGGCATGTGAATCGATAGGGAAGAGGAGGACGGCGAGGGAGTGGAGGGCGCAGATGACTTGGTCGGCGTATCTTGCGTCGGTAACGGAGGTGATGACGTGTCCGACCTTCTCAAGGACTCTTGTCTCCAGTTCTCTCCTCTTTACTTCTTCACCTACCATGGCTGTTTTCAGAGCTCTGGTTTGGAGTCCCGGCAAGAGGTTGGCCTTCGAAAAAGTTATAATTTACGCGAGGGAATTTTCGATTACGTCACTGAAGTTTTGTCATATAGCATTAACACCCTATTTGTTTGGAAAATACCCAACAACTCTCCCTGAAGTTTCCCTTTGCGGAAGACGTTTTCAGATTGTTAATTCATTCATTTATTAACTGGCCAAATAATTAAAAGCACTTTTTCCCCTTTTATTATTTTTTTTCCTTTTTGCTGTTACTTTTTTTCAAAGATTGAAAATGAGAAAAAGAACCAATCATTCACACATAGTGGTGCAATTGAATAATGTTATACCTATTTGCATGGTATTATTTTTGTGGTTTGTATTTAGAATAATCAATTTTAATATAATCTATCTTTATTTTTTTTGGTCACGACAATCTATCAAATTAATTGAATCAAATGATCTCGTATTAACACTGCTTATTTATCAATAATAGCGCACTCAAATTAAAAACCTAGGATATTTTTTTGTTCAACTAAGCTAAATACTCATTGATTTTTCATAAACTTAGCATCCACTTAATCCAATTATCCAAATGGTTAAAAAAAAAAAAGGTAAATATAATTTTTTTTTTCACATCATCACATACTCTCTTACCTTTGAAATATTACAAAGAAACCTCTCAAGTTTTGTGTGGGTGTAACAAGCCTCTATCGTCATTCGACGCCGTTAATATAACTATTAGAATTTAATGATATCATTACAAAACAATTTCTGCCCTGCCTCATGCATATACACCCTGTAGCGCAAAACCACACCCACCACTACCCTACACTGCAAAGCCCCAAAGCAACACACTTGTTAAAGCACATAAGCACAATCCACCATCATGTCTACAGACTAACTGAATCGGTTAATTATAGGGGTAGAGATGTCAACCACACTGCACAACCACCACCTACCCAAAAAATCACAACCCCTACCACCACCACCACCACCCATAAGCACCGACTACAAACCTCCCTCTCCCTTTATTAATATATAGATCCATTAACATCCGCAGGAAAGATGAGCACAAACATACATCTCCCACAATCAATACAGAAAAAAAAAAAAGAATAGAAAAAGTGAGAGAACCTACTAACGAATGCATAATTTACAAATTTATATGCACCCCCAATTATTCTCAACAGTGAGGTGACAAGGGTTATTGTCCAATAGTTCATAGCTACAGATGGTTTAAATGCTAAAGTACCACGAGTTTGGCTCCTAGAGGTAATTCTGTTTCGAGCTCCTTGGCACGCTTCCTTGCCACTTCAATTCCCGTTTCCAATCTTCCCAAATAACGTGGACGAGGATCAACAATCATCTTCTCAAGTGAAACAGCATTCCAAAGCAAGCATCTGGCAAGCTCACCATCAGCTTGATGCCCAGCAAACCCAACAAATTCTACGACCTTAAGGTTGTGATAAGGACATTGTGTGGATTTCCTTGCCTTCTTTGGACAGTAGGGTAGTAACCCTGTTGACTGCATAAAGATAGAAGTTAACTCATGACTGACCATATACAAGAATCGAGAATATTGATCTTATGGTACTAGTAAGAATTTACATACGAACCATCATATACGTATCCCACTCAAATATTATCTGCCACAAGAAAAACAGTATTCAGATCATTATCCGCTTTGGCAAGAAAACCGAGAAACTAAACCTAGATAACTAATAGGAATCCCAGAAATCATCAGAGATTCAATCAAAAATAAAGGAAGACAATGGACGCACTGAAAAGAGCATTCGAAAGTCCTTTAAAAGAATGATAGCAAGAGTGGTGGCTATACCCTGATAACTCAGATATCCACAGCTCCATTGTGCACTATTTATTCTTTTTAAAGTAAATGAGAGTTATTTACTTGTAATCTTTGTAAAGGAAGAATAGTCACCTGTATTGATAATCTATGCAAACGCGGAGAAGCCTCTATCAAAGAAGTGAGGCAAAGGATGCTATCATCGTGAAGTGAGTAAACCTTCATCTCCAAATGCTTGAGATTACTCAGTGGAAGACAATCATGGGGTAAATTCAAACTACCGTCACCAAAGGAAGCAATGACAATAGCAACTCATTGTTAGCCTGGATACAAAAAATAAAGAATAAAAAATAAACGTCAAAACTAAGACATAACGGAAGGAACAAAGGAAACAAACCTGAAATCTCTTTGTATAAGAAACAAATATTCAAGGTCCAATCTAAGAGTCTCTAGCCGAGAAAGACATAGCAAAAGCTGGCAAAATTCAAAGTTCATAATACTATTTGTCTGTAGCTGAGAGTGATGCAATGAAAGCTGACACAATTCCAAAAGCAAGAATGCACAATAATGTTTCCCCAAAGACATCTCAGAAAGACGGGGAACATTCTTGAAAGGCATACTTATCTTTGTCCCATGGTAGGTAAACGACACAATATTTGGTGCTTGAATCTCGAGATGTTTTAACTCGTAACACTCATTAATCTCCAAGTACTTCAACTTGAGGGTAGGGCCAACAACTTTTAAATTAACCAGAGTGCCAGAGCCTCGCACACTTAAGTCTTCAAGCAAGGGACAATTGCACAAGAAGTATGAAAGAACTTCCTCAGTTACATTCACCGATTTCAAAATGAGGGACGTTAGTGAAGCAAAGCTGGGAGAGAAAAGAGGTCGCGATGGAAATGTGTAATTACTAGTGTAACTATCAATGGAATTTTTAAGTGCCCGATCAAATCCATTGAATGTTGACAAGTCCAACTCAAGCATTGCAACTCTCCTCACAATTGCGAAGTTAATCCATTTATCCAGAACAAGTCCATAACTTTCATTCAAATCAAAAGAAACTCAAAGTCCATCTAGGGTCCCAGCACGATGTGAACATAAGACTTGAAATACCCAATTTATATAACTAACCCTTTCATCCTTAAGCCATTTACTTCCGTCTATCAAGCCATGCACTGCCTCCACACCATCAAAATCGAAAACACCGGTGGAATATTTCCACAGATTTTCCCATCCACGTGAAAGGATACTAGTTCTCGCAGCTTCTTTCATTGTCAACAGGGATAAGATAGTCACAAGAATTTCACAAGGCAATCGACTCAGCCTATCCTCTTCATGATTGCACTTTTTAAGATACTGATTATTAAAACAGATAATTAGAACCCTAACAAACCTCTGTTGTACAAAATTAGTATTTGTGCTAAAACTAAGACAGACAAAAATAATAACAAAACCAAAATTTACCTTATGTTGTGCAAAAGGAAAAGTGATAGGCGCCTTCTTCTACATCTTAGTGATAATATACAGTCGTTAATTTAACTTACAGAAAAAAGCTGCATAAACATCAATAGAAAGAATCACAAGCAAAAGTGACAGGATTGCGAGCGCTATACTTCCAAAATCCAAGCTTTGAAGAAAAACATTAGAAAAAATCGATGATTTCATGAGATATATGACAAGAAGGTGGCGAAAACAACCTCATATAACCGCCTCCAAATAATTAGAACATAAAAGACTTGGTTTGGTTTATATATGACAAGAAGATGTAGTAATCAAGGGAGCATACCTTTTAGCATATGTTCAAATTTTTGATTATCCATAAATTTGGACCTTTTCCTACTCTATTGATCTGCTATCCAAAGAGTCGGATAAACCAATAAAAGATTTTTTTAGTATTCTGCAAAAAATCAGATATAAATACAGAATACCTACAAAATTTTCATATTCTTATCCTATTCTATCCTATCATATCCTATATATATATAAATTTTTTTATGACTTTTTTATATATGTTGTATTAATATTTATGACTTTCTTGTTGTGTTTTATTGTAATTATTTATGTATTACTGAATTTATTATATTTTTTTAGTATTATTGGTTTATTATGTCAATTAATTGGTACAAGTTATTTAATTAAATTATTAAAATAATTCAAAAATTAATAACTAAAAAATATGTGTTCACCTAATTTCCATTTCGGCTTCTTACTTAATTGTTTATGACAGAATTCAGATAAAAATAGTATATTTGATCGGATAAACTAAGAAAAAATTTATCTTGCAAAATATCATATACAAAAATAAACTATCATAATTTTTACCTTGGGGTGGAGTAAAGACTCTATATCTATATATTAGTTATTATTTGTGCCTGAAGGCACAAAATAATAAAAAATGGTAAATAATAAATATATTTGTATTCATACCCATAATCAAATTACAAATATAAAGAAGAGATAAAATAATTTAAACATCGATTTGTAGTGAGGATGAGAGGTGGTGGGCTGTAGTGGTGATGATAGGAGACGGTGATGGTTGTGGTGGGTGGCAATGATTGTGGTGGCGACGAGGGCGGAGGTGATGTTGGTAGTACTGGTGGCGACGGCGATAGTAACAGCAACGGTGGTGGTAGTGGTGACAGCGGCAATGACAGTGACAGTGGTGGTGGTGGTAGTGATAAAGAATAATTAACCTTAAAAATTAAAATTTATATATGTAAAAATCCTTAAAATTAAAATTTATATATGTAAAAATCCTAATGTGATAAACTAAGAAAAAATTAATCTTACAAAATATTATATATAAAGATACAATATCATAATTTTTATCCGTGGGAACAAGTGAAGACCCTACATCCCGCTCCTGAATAAAAAAGGAAACCTTTTTGTCTTAGGAATGAATTAAATGCATAATATTTGCTCACCGCCTTCTCATTCCCGGCGATTTCGCCCAAAACACTTATCCAAGGCTTTTGAGGAGCCAAAAGCTCAGCCATATATACAAATTTTACGTACGCATCCATCCACTCGGACAGTCAAAAACGCACGCGCATAGTCAATGAAGAAAAGCAGACTAGCAGAGAGTCATCCTTGGTGACGCCGTGGCGGGAATCTGGGGGAGGGGGATGGCTTCGGGGAAGGGTGCGATATTCCGTAGGAGAAGACGATGTGTGTGTATGAGAGGTAGGTTACAATAACTCAAACTCTCAAATAAATGGTCACCAACTTCCTCTTAAATCATCGTATCTTGAACGGGTTATTTCTAATTATTTATCAATATACACTTATTTTTAAATAAATTTATCAATTTACAGTATATTTAAATTTTTTTATCAATTTATAACATTTATCGAAAACAGAGTCAACAAATTCGCTTTCACTTACTATGTCGCTTTTTAAAAGCATGTCAATAAATCCAATTTTTGATATATTGAAGTTAACTCATTCATACAGACAAAAAAATTAACAAAAAATTAAAAGAAGGGTTGCATTATGATATTTTTAATATATTAAAAATTTAATCTATGTTAAAGTGAAAATTTTGAAATCGGTATAAAATACAATTCTTCCTTGCTACTTCCAAAAAGTTCTAATCTGTGCGATAGAATTTTTGATTACATCCCTGAAGTTTTGTCATATAGCATTGACACCCTACTTGTGCGATAGATTTTTTTTCCTTTTTGCTATTTCTTTTTCAAAAAAAATATTATTTGCAAAGACGGAAAATGCGAAAAAGAACCACCAACATTCACAGACGGAGGTACAATTAAATAATGTTATACCTATTCGCAAGTAAGGGTGGGGCCCCATAGGAAGGAGGGTGGACCTTGCCTTCCTAATTTTTTGAAGAGTTCTTTGGAAGTCGATATAATTAATTAGATTTATTTGACAAAAAATATATACAACAAAATATTTTAGAAAAAAGTATACAGCTAAATTACAAAAACATAAATGCCCATTTTAGAGTTATTTAATTCAAAATCTCTTATTTTTAATGCACATTGATTCATGTGTGTTTGTTAATACATATAAATACGTATTTAGTACATTTTTATTCATGTGTATTTGTTAATACATATATATATACTTGTTGTTAAATCTCTTATCTAAATTTTGAATTATTTTTAATGCACCTTGATTCATGCGTATTTTTTTTTTTGGAAAGTGGTTTTGTTTTCAAATTATAATTAATGCACCTTAATTCAAGCATTTTTTTTTTAGAAAATGGTTTTATTTTTAAATTAATTTAATATCCGAATAAAGTTATAGTGTAACAATAACAGTGTAACAAATACACTGTAATAAAAACAATGTTCAGTAATTTTGTGTATGTAGTAACAAATTCAAAACGGAAATGAACTATTTTGAATGAAATTATTTGTTTGACAAAATGTAATAATACAATATTTTGTGTAAATAGCTTGTTACACTGTTATTGTTATACTGTTACATTGCTAGTGTTACACTCTTACACTTTTATTGTTACACTGTTATTATTATGTTGTTACACTTTTATTATTACACTATTACACTATTCAAATATTAAATTAATTTAAAAATAAAATCACTTTCTAAAAAAAAAAATACATGAATCAATGTGCATTAAAAGATAATTCAAAATTTAGATAAGAGATTTAACAACAAGTATATGCATACATACATAAGTATTTATATAAGTGTGTGTGTATATATTATATAACGCATGAATCAATGTGCATTAAAATATAATTTATATACATATACGTTTTTATATATACATGAATACAAATTTTGAAATTCAAACAAATATATATATATATATATATATATGTGTGTGTGTGTATTAAAGTTTTCATATAAAACTAGAAGATGTTTAATGCACCATTTTTCAAAAGAAAAGTGGTGCATTAAATACACATGGATTAATAGAAGACAAAAATGTCACAAAAAAATTAGTAAAATTCAAATAATGTACTTAGATACAAATAAGTATAAAAATTACGAACTTAATTACCCAATATTTTTTTTTATGTATTTTTTTACAATTAAGTCTAATTGGGTGTACCTCCTTCCAATTTTTTCCTTTTTGATCCTATTGTTAAGGATGATAGTTTTACTTATTTGAATACATTTGGCCCACTTAAATTTTGGAAATGTTTACAATAGTACTAGTTTTTTTTTCAATTTTGATAAGTTAGTGACTCAATACCTCCCTCCCAAAAAAATCAATGTTTTAGTTTATAGATCGACTACACCAACAAAATAAATGATGATTTCAACTAAATTTCTCAACATAAAATGAATAATAATTTTATCACAAATAATGTGGTTTTGTACATTAAAGAAAATTCCTAAAAATTTAATTTATCATCAATTCATTATGTAAAAATTTTAAGATTTGAAATAACATTGTCTTCTATTTTGGTATGTGATTGAGTTGAAATGTACTAAACATAGATTATTTTATAATTTTTTATTTATATTTTGTTTAAGTTAAAAATTTAATGGTGTTTCGATAAACCGATAAATGATCTGAAATTTTTTTCGATCACAGTTTACCCCCTCTAATGTGAAATGTTGGTTCCGTTCGCATCGTATTATTTTTGTGCTTTGTATTTATGTTAATCAATTTTAATATAATCTATCTTTCTTCATTTTTTTGGTCACAACCATATATCGAATTAATTGAACCAAATGATCTCATATTAATCTGATTTATTCATCAATCATAGCGCACTCAAATTAATTTGCATAACTCGTGAAACAAAAACCTAGGACCTTTTTTTGTTCTCCTAAGCTAAATAATCATTGATTTTTCATAAACTTAACATCCACTTAATCCAAATGGTTACATAACAAAAATCACATTCAAAATTTTGAATCCCTTTATGATTTTTCACTTCATCACATAGACTCTCACATTTGGAAAAACAATATGTCTAGTTATGAAAAAATAGATTGAAAAAAAGAAAAAAAACTAACAAGTATGTATTTGAAAAGGAAAAAATATGAGCAAGTGTTATAAATTATGCTTTTAAAGGGTGAAGCGCGAAAGGTTATGGAAAGAAATTTAGTTGTGTAATGTACATGTTCTTTTGGATAGTCTTTTGAATTCATAAATATTTTTGTTTAAAAACTCTAATCCCAAGACCTCATTATACCCTTGAATAAAAATCTATTTGATCTCAAGATTATATTGGTGGATGCACGACTTGTATAAATAAGGAAACAAATGATGATTATTTGTTTATTGTGTGTTGATTTTCTTTTATGAGATTATGTCAAATCTTTTTTTTTTGAATTACAATTATTTAAATGGAACATGTAAGAATTAATTTATTTTGATTTAAATATCTTCTTCTCACATGTGACATTTAAGAGAATAATCACTATAATCTGAGAAAATCTTTTATGAATGAATTATTTAGTGAGATTTGACATTAAAACAAATAGTTGATAGTTGTAAAGGTGATTATCAAATAAATTATTGGCTTGGTATAGTTAATTCACACTACACACAATTTTATATGAAAACAGTATAAGTGCATACATTTATATAACGTAGAGTTTTATATTTTACTTTTTTTGTGTTTTTAAAAAAGCTTACAGCTTAGAATTAATATTTTTTAGCAGTAATTTGTGTTATAAAATTATTATACAGATATCTGATTATAGGATGATGTTTGTGAGTATCATTTTTAGAAACCTTCACGAGACTATACTTGTTCACTATGAAAAATTTAGGAATTTAAAGGCTTGTTACATATGCTTATAAGAGTTCAAGTTGAAAGAAAACTCATTTAAAGTTGTATAAAAAAATATTTTAGAAAATAAGAATTTAACACGTATTCAGTATTTTAGTCATAACTTTTGACTCTGATTTTTGATTGACCTTTATTTTTAACTAGTTAAAAAGAAGACTTCAAGGGCTACAGAAGTGTATTTCACAAAAATTTCATGAATCGGCTTCTAACTATGCAAAAATTGAGCTCGAAATCTAAATAGATTTTGTACCCGCGCCTCCAAGATTTTATACACAAAATTTAACCTTAAAAAACTTTTTTTTGAAAAAAATTCTTCCCAAACCAACCCTAGATCTCCTAGTTATACCTATGATTTATTTTAGTATAAATAAGGGCTATCACATATTGAGATGAGATGATTATTTTATTCCTATCTTTTCTTTTCTAGTTTTTGTTCTTGGGCTTGCTAAAAATCTGGCTAGGGGAGATACTTTCAATATAGTATGATATTTATTATTGATTCAATGTTATTTTTCTTGATCTGTTGTGTTACGTACATTGAATGCTTGAAATTCTATGCGAGTCAAATAACTAGTTATTTCATACTTGAATTAATTAATTAGAATTTATCAAAGGATAGTTAATTTATTATTTACAATAAAATAAAATTTATCTGTTGAAAAGTTTGATTTATCTTAAATTCTGAACACTGTGCATGGTTGTGATATACAAGTAAATTCTTATGTTTATTCAGATAATTAATTAATTATAACTTTTGATATTTTCATATTATCACTGCTAAATATTTCGATTGGGATCACTCTTCAGCTAATTTTCAATTGAATTCGAAAATTGAATCATTAATAATTATCGTATGGATTTGAAATGATATCCCCAATACTTTAGTATTTCAATTATTATTTTTAATCAAACAAATTTTGTTCTTTTGAACAAACAAAAAATTTCTCCGAATAATTTTCAAAACAATTTCCTTTTATCTATTTTGTGTATTTGTTTTCACAATTCCTTATGGTTCGACCTCGAACTCTAGAAAAATTTATTATTTCACATAACCTGTACTTAGGTGATCGATTCTAAAATTGTAGCATCTCCATTTCCATTTAAAACAAAGGGGTATTCATCCTATTTTCACACCCTTGTCCAAACACATACGCAGATCGTCTCTCTTCAACTATTGCTGACCCTTTTGAAAACGATAGGTTGGTCGCCTTTGAACACAAATACATAATTTAAAGTATCACATGAACGAACTGGTTCAATCCGGTTATAAAAAGAGAATTTTGTTAAATACAAAAAACAAAAATGGGGACAAATTAATGGGTTCTGTATGTTCATGATAATTAGAAAACAAAAACATCTAAAGATTTCAGTTCAATCAGTTCCCAGCAAAATCTCATTTTTCAGCCGGGAGATAGAAATGGGGGTGTTATAAAGACAAACAGCCTTGTGTTAAGAGTAATATAGTTGATTTTTTTTTTGTTTACCCAAGTCATTGCTTGATATATTGGCCCCACCTATTGCAAAGAGTAACATTGTCAGACCATTACAATTGCAATGTCAGTAATTCTCTAACAGAAGAAAAATAACTTCAAATATTCAACCTCCCCCTTCCCACCAGAAAAAAAAAAAAGAATAGAAAGAAAAAGAAGAAACACAAAAAGAAAGACCATACTTGTGTCCTTTAGATCCATTATACCATCCTAGAATGGCAGGATGACAAGGTGTCATGACCCAAAAAATTATCATTTAAAAGCTTAACACAGCTTATTCTCTCAATCTCAGCATTCTATTCAACTAAATTCTTCTAGGGAAAATAGTCTATAGTTTACCAACTAAGATGGCTTTGTTTTTCGCCCTTGTCGTGTGATGCGCTTAAGTTCTTGGGTGCCTTTTCTCATTTCTCTGCAACATGTAGACAAACAAATATATGATATAAATCTGACTGACAGATGGGTGAGGCCAAAGAGTGTTATTCAAGGGACTAAAAATGGCACCTTTGGTACAAATAGACAATGGCATAGAAGATAGGGAGCAGCATCATGGTCAATATTGAAATAGCCAAGTAGAAGACGCTTGTTTGCCTCTGCATAAATTGATGAATGGGAAAAATCCATCAATTGAACCAATGACAAAATGCAAACTGAAAAGGATATCAAAACAAATGAAGCCAACATATCTAACATAGAGACTGCAGTACTGGGCAGCCAATATTTCACCATGTGGATTGCATTTATGTGACCTAAAGCTTAACATAGTTCTGACTGTCCAACAGTACAAGTTAGCTCAATTTTCAAGGCTCACTAGAGCAGGTCATCAGGACAAGTTTTACTCCCAGAACTTCTCACAAGGCGCAGCAAAACACTTCAAAGTTCAGACACGTAACATCCACCAGAAGAAATCTCTCCAGCACCAATCAAGGCATTTGGATATGTACTCATAATAGTAATCTTGAGCTTTAGAAAGAGTATGCAAAATACTGGAAACAGAGAGAAGCCTTACCATGCCTCCCCTTGAAAAGGGTTTGCGGCCACCTGAGCAAGTGTGAGCATCACAGAATTGGCGCAAGAACAATTCTGCCAACGAAAAAATCAAAAGGTCATTTTAGCTAAATACGGAAGAAGCATCATACTGGTGCCTATTTCAAGAAAAAGTAGTACCGTGAAGGCGGTTTGCTGAGGGACCCTGATTAACAGGAAAACAGCTATCTGCAAGGCTCTGCAGACAAAATTTGGGTATAAATGAAGAAACAAAACTACTTAATCAGCAATAAGTGATAAATAATAGTAAAAATAACCTCACACAAGTGGCGATTCCTTGCAGCAGCTGCAGGATTGCATTTGGATTTACCAGACCTAGACTCCATCACAAGATCACAATGCAATGCCCCACATAAATCTGCCAAGCACTTGCTGTGACTCTGAATTCATTGAAAGTTCATAAAAAGGATCAAACTCCTAATACAAAAGAAGAAAAGCAATTTAAAATAGAAACTTTAATCTCAAAGCATCAGGCAGTTAAATGTGCAAAAAACATCTGTTAGGTTGTGTGTGAAGCACAACGCAAATATTGTTCGTCAAAAAGAAATCATCTTGTCAACCAGAAAGAAAGGACAAAACTTCCAACATGACTTCTTTAGAAGAAACCAGGGAAAATGTTTTGGCAGAGTTTGATCTCACTGACAGTGCTAGCTCTCTTTCTAGAATTCTAATCATGAAAACTATCCTTCATGAGAAAGATAGCTTATGTTAGTAAGCTGATATTTATACAATATGATATAACACTTTTCAGTATAACATAGTGAAAATAACAATTAACGAACTTGTCGGGTTTTAGATTATGATGCTCTTTTTAATTTTTTTTTTATGAATGCTACATAGTCATGATAAAAAAATTGAATAATTTTGGATATCATAGGGGTTAATCATAAACTGAGTGTGAACTCCCTGAATCAACTAGCAATGATGCAAACACCAAACATAATCAGGTAAAGTTGTGAATAAAAATATGGAAGTGGATTTAGCTTACAAATTTACAAATAAATTACGCAATGCTTGTAATAATTCTTTCTCACTTTTATTTGAAAATACATATATCGTGGAATCATGGCATACTTCAGAAACTAAGACAATTTTTTTATAGAAGAACTTAAGTTGGAGAAAAACAGCATGGACTCGGTTAGTAAAACACAATGACTACACGAACCCAAAAAAGAGAATACTACAGTTAATGATGTAAGGGACAAAAGGGATTTGTAGCGATGTCTACGGCATAAGAATGGCAGATATGACGGTGTAACTAGACTCTGAAATCAGTGATAAAAACGATGAAACAAGGTCCACATACAACATTCAGAAGATTGTAGTGTCTGTTGTCAAAATGTTGATCAAGATATTTCTCTGCCCGAAAGCTTTTCTTACAATATCCACAGCGCCATTCATTTATGTCCACATGAACCTTGTGCTGCTCCTGATCTCGGAAGAGATCGTTGTCAGGATGAAGTTTACACTTTCTTGGAATCTGATATTTCTCCCGATCCACAAATGGTATCAAATACTGCACCATATATAAAATCTTGTTGTCATGCATGTTTAATTAAACCATGCCAGATATATGTGCCTTCAAAATTCCAAATGAAGTTCACGGCAGATACCTCCTCAATTATTTTCCAGGCTGCCCTACTTCTTTCTCTTGAACAATGAATTTCATGAGCATGTTCTTGATCTTGTTCTTGCTTAAGAGTTCTGCACGTTTAAACAAACTTCAGATGGCACACCTACCCTTTACCAAGAGTTTTAAGGTATGCAGCATCATTAGGCAGCCAAAAAACAAAAGCAACTTGCTCTACCAAATATGTTTTCATAATTCAATAAACAGTCAAGTGATTATGTATCTAAATCTCAGTCCTCCATCTTCGGAAAAATTCGTTTAGAGGGGAATCTTAAATAACCAGCATGGTAACAGGATAGACAATGACCAGTTCCTAACAGGGATGTTACCTTGCACCAGCTCGTTCTTCAGAATCCTGTAGCGTAGAAGAAAAGAAAACAGTTATGCTAGAAGTAGTAGGCAGTAAGACAGAGTTGTAATCTTTGCTCTATGAATGTTCAAAGCACACACACCCACATTGGCACAAGAATAAGAACTTTCTTGACAAGAGATCAAACAAAACCAAGAAAAACAAATGCTTCTGCAGAGCCGGGAAAGGACATAAGCTATGCTAGAGCTACACAAAGCAGTCTATGAGAATTAAGGAGTAGATCATTGACTTAATAATGTGGTTCAAGGACCTCATTTTAGCACTACTAACAACATACAAATTAACATACAAGATTAATTCAATCACCAAATGGGTCTCGGCCAGGGTCAAAAAATAGTACTTCATGAAGATCATACTAGTAAAAATTAAAGATTCCTTGGTTGCCAATGAAATCATACAAATTGAATATTGATAAAGATATTTGGAAGTAGAGAATAGAATAACTTTAACTAACCCCAAATATAACTTTTTAGCATTTTTCGGTATTAAGAACAACACAAAGCATAAGATTAGACATCCCGTTTCTAGTTCATATGAGTAACAGGCGATCCTCAATCTCTAAAATAATTAGGAGATCAATTTCAAAAAGCATAAGAGTAGACATCCGTTTCTACTTCACATGAGTAACAGGCGCTCCTCAATCTCTATAAATATAAATAATTAGGAGATCAATTTCAAAATAGGGACAACTAATACATGTACATGCTCACTTATATGTTATAAATACATCCAAATTACAATTTAACAATTCTCTGCAGATTCAATCCTGCAATTGATATTAGATGACACCCACCAACCTTTCCGTTTTCTTCACCAACATCGTATACATAAATATATTGATCAGAGAGAGCGAGAGAGAGAGACCTGAGCTTTCTGCAAAAGAGGCGAAGAGGTTGAGTGTGCTCGAACGCTGGCTTGCAGAGAGAGCGACATTAAGAATAGAACACAAGGCATCAGTCTCTCCCTCCCCATCTCTCCCTCTCTCGACTCGGACCTGAGCTTGGGCTTTGCGTATATATCTCTTGTCTGAATTGTCAAAATTACAAGGGGAGCCTCGCATTGGCAAAAATTATCAGTAACCCCCACACTTTTAGTTGTTGTGAGAACCATCCCCTCTTATTTCATGGCATATACCCAAAAGCGTAAAAGAAGGGGTGTCAATTGTGTCGGGTGATTTGCATGTCGTTATTTTTGTATTGTGTCATTGTTATTCGTGATGTGTTCGTGTCAAGAGTCAACTCTCGTGAGAAAAAATATATATTTAATATGTTTTAAGTGTTAAACATTAATTTAAATTATTTATTATACATAGGATTTCATTAATCGTGACAGCCCCATAGAGGTTATTCATCGTATCGTGTCAAATTCGTATTAACGGATCAGAGTTGACCCCCAACGTGGTTGCTAGCCAATGATCCAATCACTACATTTTTCACATTCTTGGAACCATTATAAGCAAGTCATATTTTAACCCTTTAAACTAATTTCTGCATAATTTTTGTAATGTATTAAAAATAAAAATTAAATAATGTGATAATATAAACAAAAACTAATGCATCATTAATGATACGGCCGCCTCTAACATAAAGTCACTATATAATGGTTTTATGTTACACCCCCAAAAGAAGGTGCGGGTGTAGGAGACTAAAAGTCTAAGTCATACCAAAAACTTCCATGAGAGCGCAAGTCTAAGAAAAATTATGTTGAGTCTCAATTAAAAATGTCATTATCATATGGTTCAAATTATACTCCGATCATTTATTTAACCTTTTACACGATGGGACGTACGAAATCAAAAAAGTCCTATTTAAAAAAGAAAATGATCTATCCTTGTCGTATCTTTTTTTTTTTTAACAAAAAAAATATATTTATCGTGTGTAAAGACATAAAATTAAAAATTCATGATAACTCACACTCTCTGTATTTTTAAGCACTCAAATAACGAATTTTCTATTGTACAACATCGAAAGGAAAGAGAATAATGTGGGACCAAATATTAAATCTCATTTTTTATCTTTAAAAACCCAATCGAATTATAGTGTCATCACACATTAGGTGGATTTTTCATATAGTAATACTAGACTGATCAAATTTTAGTGTCATGTCATTTGGTCCCTAATAAAAAATTTCAAATAATCAACTGACATGTCATTTGGGCTCCAAATTTAATTTTAAAATTTGGTTAGTCTAGCATTACTCTTTTTCATATTGTTAATTGAATTAGTAATTTTGCATATCATTTAGTCAGTAAATTAAAACATTCCGATTACTTGGTGGTGGACCTAAACCAAATAACTAATGTTTGCTGATGCATGCTAATTAATTGTAGTAGTTAAAGGCCTACCTACTACAAAAGTGAGAGGGTAGAAGTGTCATTCTGTTCCTAATACTATTTTACTGATTCGGAAATAATGATTGGATTGCTCAAATAATTAAAAAACCAAATGCCATGATACACCAAATTCTCTGTTATATCTACTATTGTTTCTCAAAAAGATTCCGACCCAAAGTATCCAACTAAGGTCGTCTCCGATCTTCATTCAAATTTATATTTAGTTTGATATAAATCACTTTAACGAGAAAATTCAAAATTAATATGAGGATGTAATATAATTTTTAAATTTTTAAAAAAAAAGTAAAATATGATTATTTAATATTTGAGTTTTTCTTGATTTGAATAAAAATTTAAGTCCCTTTTTATTTGGTATGAATTTGAGTAAATATTGAAGATTATTTTGAGCATGTTTTTTTCTCTGCTTCAAATTTAAATACAAAGTTTGGATAAAAATTGGAGATAGTCGTCACCCCGTTTTTTATCAACAACAGGGAAATTTTGTTGAAGGAAAAATTACACTTAAATCCCATGTACTATGTATTTCATTTTAAATTATTTACTAAATTGTCTATTTTTGCGCGTTCCACCTTAAAATTTTATTTTGAATTTTACATTGTCCTAATTATTAATCTATGTCTATTTTTTGGGCAAATTAAGGTAAAAATAAGTTTCCATAATATTAAAAGATGTGGTATTTTCGTAGTCAAATAGGAGGGTTTATATTTTTGCTACAACTTGCTGTAAAAATTTGAACAAAAGGTGATGATTAGGGTATTGAGAAATTCAAACTAACCATTTAAGATACAATGAGAAAAAAAAAAGTAGGTAGTTTAGAAAATAAGATGAAATTAAACTCATAGTTTAAGGGATCCAAGTATAATTTGCTACCAAAAGGATTTGACACCTTGTCTCCTTCATAGTCGCTCTACCAAAGTAGTGAAAACAGTCAAAAGCCGGATTACATTTAACAAAAAAGAATCAAAATTCAAAACGGTAAGCAAAGACCAAATCTCTCTCTCTCTCTCTCTCTTTCTAATGTTTCAGTTTTGGAGAGAGATTGGGTCTCTCCAAAAACCAGGTTGACCCACAAAACCATTGCTTCTCCCACACTCATTGATGACACCCCCCCTTCTCTCTCTCTGCCTAGTCATTGAACACTAATGAAAATATATAAAGATGGCTAGTCATACATGATTTTGTTCGTTATTGGGTTTTGCAGCTGACAATAATTTCATTTCATTTTCACAATAAACTGGTCAGGCCTCCACAGACACTGTTAGGCAAAAAATTATTCAGTCATCCACAAGCCCAATTAGAGGAAAATAAGAGAGTTGATGGATTATTATCAGCTTGCTGGGTCATCTTCTTGCCAAGATTCTCTCCAAATTCTCGAGGCTGATATAGAGCATGCAAATATGCTGTGAGTTTTCAGTGTGTTTGTGCCTGTGGGTGAGAGTATAATTATTGTTAGTTTGACGAATTGCTATTTGGTACTTCAAGAATTCGAGTAAAATTGCCTTTTTTGGCCATCTTTATTCATTTGCTCTGGAAAATTTGTATACTATATGGAATTTCTGAGTTAATCCCTTGTTCTGCTTTTATTTGAGATGTGTTTTGATTGAATTCTGCAGTGTACTAAGGAATTTATGAAAAGGGATATGCTTCGGATGTTTACTGTTGACTTTCCTAATTGTATGTCTGTTTTGTGCCTGAATTGCAAAACTATAATTTAATATATGAATGGGTGGCATTGCTGGGCAAGGGAATATCAATAGAATCTATTATTATCATCTTGGCTGCTTGAGGTAATAATTGTTTTGTGGCGAATTTGCATTCACGCAGCTATTTGTTGTGGCAATTTGGTACATTTGAAATTCAATGAGCATACAATCTAATTTGGAAAGTAGGAAGCTCTTTGGGAGTTTGTTTTTATGCGCTGGTGAGGACGCGCCTATCTATTTGCTTTTGTTATTCTCCTGTTTCTTTGGTGAATCTTTAATGTTATCTTAGTTTTGTTTGGAATTTTAAGTTCCTGAATTCATATTGTACTTTATAGTGCATAATTATTTGATCAAAGTTTTAGGAGGATGTTTTTGTGGTTGTGCGCCTGAAGTAATTGTGGTTCGTTGATTCCTCTGAATGATGTTTATAGGGCAGCTTCAGTTCCGATAGGCCAGGGTGGTGCATGTCTTCACATGGAATTGGTCTACAATCCCTTGGCAACTTTGTTTTGGTTTTTGCTCCAATGGATGGACTGCTCATGTACATGTTTACTTCCAAGTTATTTGAACCTCTTCCACATAGTTGTAAACAAGGTCAGTTCCCTATTTGCCTGCTCATGCTCCTTTGATGAGAAATTTGTGTATTGATTTGTTAAATTTTGGGAGGAAAGTCACTCATTGGTCAATGCTTTATTTTTTATGCTCTTTAGGTGTGCCGTGGTGGTAAGATGATGTTCACTTCACATGGAAGGAAAGCAACTATTACAGAATTCTACAGTATGCAGACTATCTTCTCTTCTTCTTTGAATAATACTAAATGTTAAATTTGCAATTAGGCATCTCACCGGTGTGGAATATTCTTTGTCTCGTCTTAGCATTTGTAACTAGTCTATTTTATTACATTGAGCGTGTTTAATTTAGTTAAACTCGTTGCAAACTTGCATGTCTAATGTCATTATTAAGAAAGGTTTTTCACTTGGTAATGCTGTGCAATAAGAAGGCTGGTTTCATTTTGTTTTATCTGGTTTATGCAGTTAGATTAATATTTGCATATCCTAATAGAAAAAAAGTTGCAGGTGTCATATTACCATCTCTTCAGCGCCTCCATGATAACACATCAGAGCTTGGTATTGATCAAGATGAAGGTGAAGGTTTGGAGATGGTTGTCCGGCATAGACTAGAAGAAAAACGAAAGCATTCAGATGCTGATTTGGAAAGAGAAGATGAATGTGGGATCTGCTTAGAGCCATGCACCAAAATGGTTGTGCCAAATTGCTGTCATGCAATATGCATCAATTGCTACCATGACTGGTAATTTGGGCCTTTTTTTCCTTATTTTGTTTCCTCTTTCGCTGACTCAATCTGCGATATTGAATTTTCTTTTCCCCCCATTTCTGTTACAGGAGCACGAGGTCAGAGTCCTGCCCATTTTGCCGTGGTAGTTTGAAGAGAGTGAATTCAGGGGACTTGTGGGTTCTCACATGCAGTGGGGATGTGGTTGACCAAGAGACTGTGTCAAGGGAGGACATGCTGCGTTTCTATCTTTACATAACCAGCCTGCCTAAAGATATTCCAGATGCTCTTTTCTTATTATATTATGAGTACTTAATCTAAACTGACTAAGACACGAAGAAAGATGTAAAGAAAGGGGAGAAAACACCAACCATCATATGTGGATTGAGTCTGGTGAGGTTCTTCTGAATTAAACAGGTTGCTTCCACTTAATCTTTGTCCAGAATAATGTATATTCTATGTGTAGAAGAACCGACAATTAATCTAAATCATTTTCTTGATTTCATGAGGGAATTTATTTTTTGATATACTTTATCACTCTGTTAGGGTAGCCCAACATAGGACATTAAAATTACTAGAGACCACTTGTCTTTGCTCTTCAGAATTGTCATGAGAAACTTGTTTGCATTGTTGAAGAGATTAAACTGAACAAAGTTAAACTTTTGTGTTTAATGGGTACAATTCGAGGTGTATTACTGAAGCAAATAAAGGCATAGTTCTGCAATGCCTACCAAGCTTATAGAACTTGAAGATATGGGCCAAAAACTGTTATATCACGAATGTTGTGAGCTCTGCTAGTTAATACAGTTTACAATCCATCAACAAGTCCAGAAGCATGCAAATTTATAAGGACTGTTCCACTGTTAAAGTAAGAACTAAAAAAGGAGTAGGAAAAAAAAAATTTCTCGTTTCCCTTTTTGTGGTGGCTGCATATAATTTTGTCCTGTTTCAGTTGTAATGTCAAGCTTGAAGTTGAAATTGTTGTCCAGCTTGTTTTGATATGAATTTGCAATTTTTTTTTCGTGACAAGTAGCATTAGTTACAGAGATCGTTATTGTATACCCAATTTAGCTTCCTGAAGCCTCAGCTGGAATTCACTTCAACATTTTCCCATATATCTCAGTCTGCAATTCAATCATAGTCGATGTAGGCTTGTTTCCTGCTTACTAAGCTATCCGAGTGCCCACTTCATTAAGCCACCGAGAGAGTTGCAGGTAAAGTTTCATCTTCTATTGGAAATAAGTTTTCAAAATTTGCTAAGCGGTTTAGAGTGAAGGAGATGAGAGTAGTGGAATTACACCAAGGGGAATCCCTTTGGGGAACTACGAACAAAGTGATGGCCCCTTTAGAGTAGAGACTGGGAGCAGCTCTCTTGTGGTAGTAATTGTGAACATTTCTCCTCTTCTCTTAGCGTGCATATATAGTTCGCTTACATGCCACCTTAAGCACATCTATTTTTTTGGAGGCATTGCATTCTATCAACTACTTATAGCATACCCATACAGAACATCTATCTAGGCAATCCTCTTCTCTATCCTACCTCGCCTGCCAAATGCCAGTATAGTTGCTGTTCTTATGCGGCTATTAGTTGTGGGCTTGCCTTGTTTAGGCTTGGACTCATGGAACCTGCTAATTTGCTTGCATGCCGCCTTAGGCACATTTCTCTTTCTTAGTTTCAATGAGCAAATCCTTAAATCATGGAAGGCAAGGTCAGCCTTCTATGCCAATTTAGAACCTATGATTTCTTGGTGGCCAAGGTTAAATTACTCTGTAAATTGTAATATACTAGAATGCTAAAGGTTTTATGGGGTGCAAGGTGTTTAGTTTCCATTCAGAGATCTTGGTGAACCTTCATGTAGTTTGATGGCATGTATTCAGGTCACCAAATATTAGCAATTGAATCAATATCATAACTACTCTTTGCTAGTTTTTTCCTAATCTAGGTTGGTATTTGGAGACCTTTCTTGTGCTCTCTGTATAAATGTTACTATTTTAGATGAATCATTACTGCAATTTCTATTCAAGTCTTTTGTGTATCGTTGCCCCCGTTTTTTGTTCTCTAGGAAGAATTGGACCACATTTAGGTGGCCTATGTAATGCTTTGCTGCATCCAGCGGAGGAACAGAACAAGTTCTTATGCCGATAATTATAATCGACAAATATGAGCTTGGATCTTTACCTTCAGAACCATCTTCGGTTTCTTCTGTTGTGAACAAGGTATCTGTCCCTTAAACCCTTAAAAAGGATAATTTTGTGTTGGGTTCACAAAATTATTCTTTAATTTTTTTGTGTTGGGTTTGGGGGTTAAGATGAGAGAGAGAAGGATGTCTGCGTGTGAGGGAGAGAGAACAAAAAAAAAGAAAGAAAAAGGTGGATGTTAGGGGTCACGTTTAATGCATACATATAAAAGGATAATTGTGTTTGGATGGATAGATAGTTATACAATATCAAAAATATCCTCAAAAATTGCATGTGCCAAGCACATGACATTTTCCGTCTATTATTTGAATGACAGTTAAGGATAAGGGCCAAAATGAGTCAATGTGTTTATATGGAGGACGGAATTGATAAAATTAAAATTTTAGGGATGAAAGTGCAATAAGTGATGCTCTATTGGTGTAATTTACCCTAAAAATTATATTTCGCCCCTAAATTTTACACTCAAGTTTCAATCAAACGGTAAATCATTACTTAATCTCAATTAATCCCTTTAACTATCTAAAAGTTTCAATACAACCCTTCCATTTAATTTCATCACAAAACTTAATAGAAAAATGCACGTAAGTCTCACTTGACTGAGTTAGTGGGGGTTTATTTATCTCAATTTAGTCTTCTATATATTTTAAAAAGTTCAAATCTAATCTTTATTTAAAAACCTCTAAAAAAAATTTGCCGAAGAGGTCTTAATGATGAAGTGGAGGGGATGCCGAGGACGACACAATGAAACACCAGTAGGAGGGAACATAGGCCTTGTATGTGAAATAGAATGAGAGCCGAATCAAATAAAAAAAAAAAAAAAAGAGACCGACTACCCACTTGGCTTATGGGTCATTACATCATTGGGTACTCTTGACCCATTGGTTTACGGATTATCCGTATTGAATTTAATCTAGTCTTTGACTTATGAGTGAAAGAAAAAAAAACACTTAATGAAGTACAAATCTTCATGGTACATTAGAAGCAGATGCATTCGCAAATACAATCTCTAGTGAAGTACAAATCTTCATGACCGAAGAATCTGCCATCAGCACCAATCTTCTGTCCTAGCTTGCTTGACCTACAACCAAATAAAAATGGTGTTATAACATACGAAATTCATCCTATTTTCACACCACCCTTGTCCAAACACATACCCAATATAGGATTGGGCAATTGAGATAATATTTGATAGGTAAGATGAGTAAGTGTGCAATTCCAAAGAGGGTGAGCCTCGGGTGTGATGAGGTTGAGGTAACACTATCGGAGGACAACTCAAACCAACACAACTGAACATACCTTGTCCCAACTATTTAGAGTACACGACATTGAACCCTTTTTCCCATGAAAAGCAAGTAGATCCATTTTTCCCTATTTGCTCTATGAAAAGCTGTCCTCTTAAATCCTGGGAGTTTGTTTTTTATATTATGGCTTTGGCAATATATTTTTTGTATTTGACCTTTTCCGGTGTTGTGCGCAAGAACTCTTCATAATGTTAGGACTGAATCCATGTTAAAGGTGGTGTGGTGGTGGAAGCAAAGAATGCAAAACATAGAAGTAGAAAATTGATCAATAAATTAATGAAAGAAATAGAGTATTTGAGGTTTGTTGAAAAGGCCTTTTTGGGATAAATTTAGGATTCATTTGTTCTAACAGAATTCTACTTCCTAGAATTAATGATCTAATTCATGTTGAGGTGGTGTTGTGGCGAGGTGGCCAACAAAGACTTAATTCGGCAAAATCTAAAATTAAACCTAAGGATTTTAGGTATCTAGATCATTACCTTTGTCCTAAGCTCTTGATGGTGCATTAGAGATCTTTTAATTCGGCCTTGAAGCTTGAACTCCTCTTTTATCAAGGATTTTGAAACTTGATCTTTGCAACATCATGACCATGGCATTACGTTGAGATTTTCAATAAGACTTTACAATATTAACTAATTACAACTAATTTTCTATCACCAAACTTGAACATATCTAATGTCTTAAACTACCTCATATTTTTCCTAAACTGTCATTGCATTCATTGGTGCAAATACAAGTTCTCATCAAATTCAAATGATTTGTACAAGTTCTAATTTCAGAATGAGTTTAGTTAGGTTTGGTATGCGGTAATGTCTTTAAGATAGAATGAAATGAATATGAGAATGGAATGTGCTTGAAAATGGAATTAAATATGTATTACTATTCTAATGTTCGGTAATTAATTGAAATTAAACCAACACAACACGGAGACAATTAATATCAACAAAATTAGAGGCCTAAAACATACCTTTAGTCTTTTCGACTAGTCCAATGATCAAATCTTTCCGACTATTCCAATGATCAAATCTATTTGGATTTATTATTGGAGGTTCTTCTGGAGGAGCAGGAGGAAGTTGAGCTATGGGAGGTGGCGGAGGCGGAGGAGCTCTGTGGCCCGGTGGCGAAGGAGATCTGCGAGGTGGCGGAGGAGCTCTGTGGAGATAGAGGTGGTGCAATTGTATCGATTCTATCAACAGAAGTCCAATTGATGCCGAATCTATTTGCTACCTCAACTACAGTATCTCGAAACATCCATGGAGCAAATTTTGAAAAAGTAATATATCCTCTGTAATTACACATCTGCCTCAAATACACTATCGCCTCCATCGAATTCATATCTACAACATGCGGACTAGGCTCTGTTTTCAATTTCAGAATCTTTTCTGCGGCAGAAGCCGAAATATCATTGTAGTAATTGTATATTTAACACCTTTTTCATAATACTCTTTTGATAATCTCATCCTTGAGCCATGAGAGGATGATTGAGATGAAGAAATATCAAAATTCAATTTTCTTATTTCTCTATGTACAGCGTAGATTCCTTCACTGTTAGAGCTTGAATGTCACATGAAGCAAAAGAATGGCTCAACAGATTCAGTACTCAATTGTTAGATAGTTTGTGGCACCACCAGATGACAGGCACATTGCATGCGAAAGGAAAAATAAGATTCAACTTTAGTCTAAAATTTCACTTGAAGCCTATCATACATGAAATTCAAATTCAATTTTTATATCAGACCATATTTTCTCTTTGAAGATCAGTCCATATAAACAAAACTGTATACGAGGTGCGAAACAAAATCATATACCTCCGTAACAATGAGCAGAAGAATTGCGGCTTTGTTAACAAAGCAGTGCCATTCTTCGCAAAAATAATGATATTGAAACAATTGTGTTTTCAAATGCTAAGGTAGTAAGAAAAGGTATATTGGAGTATGGTCTAGGCTTTATTTGTTCTGAGATTTTCGCCATGATAGGGGCAAATAGTTGGGATGAAGAGAGTAGTAACTTTATTTTTAAAGGTATTCCTTTCAGCTATGTTTGCCACAGAAGACTGGTTTCTAGAGTGTTTTTGCATGCAAACTAGACGACGAAGACTCGAATCCTCTACCTAAGTCTTGGCTATACACTCCCATAAGCTATTTCAAAAGCTACAGTAGTGGCGAGTACTGATCAATTCACGCATCACTTCATGGGACAATTTCTGTTTTTTTCATCACTTCACAGCCTTGACCTCTGATTGAGCTATGAACATGAGAACCTACGTGGCTAGGGTTGGGGAGGAGCGGTTGGACTGGCTTTTCAATCAATCTCCTGCCACTAAGTGCCGCAAACTTAACAAACATAAAATAACCTGATTATTTAGAAGCCGAACCAGACACTCAACTTAAGTAGAGTATTTCTTCATTAATTTAGCTGTCTGACATGCTAAGTTTGTTCACCATTTCTCAAGTAAATGCCCTCTGACATAAATATTTAATGACACAATTACAGATAGAGATATAAACAAAAGGAAATACAATGCAAAACATACCTTTAATCTTTATGACTAGTCCAATAATCAAATCTATTTGGATTTATTATTGGAGGTTCTTCTAGAGGAGCGGGAGGAAGTTGAGCTATGCAGAGGCTGAGGAGCTCCGTGCAATTGGTTCGATTCTATCAACAGAAGTCCAGTCGATGCCCAATCTATTTGCTACCGTAACTAAACCATCTCGAAATGTCGATGGAGCAAACTTTGAAAAAGCAATACATCCTCGGTAATTATACATCTGTCTCTAATAGAGTATCGCCTCCATAGAATCAAAAATGCATGGACTTTAGGTCCCATATATTAAAAAAGTCCAAAATTTTAGAGTTTAATAATAAAGTATATTAAATATTAAAATTCATTATAAGTATAAATCAAATATTAAAATTCATTATAATTTAGTTTAACAAAAGAACTCTTAAAAGATTACGTCAAAAAAATAAAATTTAAAATTTATGTCCTAAAGTGCAGTCCATGGAAATTCATTATAGAGATTTATGCTATGATTTACTTTCAAAGTTTTAGCGGTTTTGGGATCGAGCACATCAAACAATAAATTGGGTGTAATTGTCAAGTCAAGATCAGCAGATGGATAATTTGAATAAAGTCTTAAAGAAATAACAATATCACTAAAGATATGGACCAAAAACCAGAGCAAGACAATGAGACTAAGAGGGAGAAAAAAAGTTGGAAAGAAGCGACGAGAGTGAAGTAAAAATTAATGAAAAGATTTTGAGGGAGATTGCTACTTTTAAAGCTAGAAATTGTTAATTTTAGATTTTTTTAGAAGATTTTGTTATATTATAGAACTTTCTATAAAGATTTACATAGACTTTTGAAAATATTGTTATATTTTAGGGTTTTCTATAATATTTTAGATAGACTTGTGAAATATATTTGACCTTTAACTTTATCCTTTCAAAAGAGCTCAGAACATGAAGCTAAACAAAAGGTTGAAAATTAAATTAGATCTCTAAAATTTTTGGGCTCTAGCGACTATTTTAATGGTCGGCCCTTAGGGTCGACTTTGTTGTGTCTCCTCTTATTTAAAAGATGAAAAAATTGGAAAGGGGTACACCAAATTAGACTTAATTGTAAAAAAATACACAAAAAAAAATGTTGGGTAATTAAGTCATTAATTTTGATACTTATTTGTATCCAAGTACTTTATTTGAATTTTACTAATTTTTTTGTGATATTTTTGTCTTCCATTGATTCATGTGTATTTTCTTTGGAAAGTGGTGCATTAAACATCTCCTAATTTTATGGAAAAACTTTAATATTCTATATTTGTATGTCATCCCTTGATTCATGAGTATTTTATTTTAAAGTGATTTTGTTTTCAAATTATATTTAATGCACATTGATTCATGCGTATTTTTTTTTAAAGTGTTTTTGTTTTCAAATAATATTAATATTCGAACAGTGTAACAATAACAATGTAATAAATCATTTACACAAAATATTGCATTATTACATTTTGTCAAACATATATTTTCATATAATTTCATTCAAAACAATTCATCTCTGTTTTGAATTTGTTACCACATGCACAAAACTGCTGAACACTGTTTTTGTTATAGTATATTGTTACACTGTCTTTGTTACAGTGTATTTATTACACTGTTTTTGTTACACTATTATAGAATTCAGATATTAACAAATTTTAAAATTCAAACAAGTGATATATTCAAAAATAAACGGAATATTAAAATTCTCCTATAAAACTAGTAGTAGTAAATATTTAATGCATAAATATAATTTGAAAATAAAATCACTTTCTAAAAAAAATATGCATGAATCAAGGTGTATTAAAGATAAGAGATTTTGAATTAAATGACCATAAATTTCAACACTTAATAAATGTCTTGTTAAAGTTTTTAGGAAAGAAAATTTTATAAAATGAGTATTTACGTCATTATATCTCAGTTGTATACTTTTTTCTAAAATATTTTATTCTATGTATTTTTTTATAATTATGATTAATTTGGTGTACCGGCTTTCAAAGGATTCTTAAAGGATTGAAGTATTTATGCATATCACAACAATTGTAGTCTTTGCTCATCCCTCACTGTCAAGTCTTCGACCATGGAACCCAAGAAAGAGAATATTACAGTTAATGATGTAAGAGCTAAAAGGGATTTTAGTGATGTCTATGGCATAACTATGGTGGATATCTTATAGTGTAACTAGACAATGAAACAAGGTTTACATATAATGGGACATTCTTGAGAAAGGATAGGAACCTCACATGTGTTTTCGGCTCCGAGTCACATCCTCGTCTCCGATGAAGACACGTGTCTTCGGCACTGCGGTACATCCTTCTCTAAGGTAAACCACATGTCCTCAACGCCGAAATACGTCTATATCTCTGATAATGACACTTCGTCAGCGCCGAGGGTACCTCCACTCTGAAGCAACCACTTGTCTTCGGCCTATAGAGAGACTACTGATTGACAACTAATAAAGTCTCAGAACTAGACTAGAGATCATGAGGGTGCTCTCCCCAACGAAGTCAAAATGGCAGGAGGAACAAGACCCTCCACCAAGAGGAGTTAGACACGTGGCATAGAGTACAGGTTGAGGGGTGTATGGACAAAAATACCCCTGCTGACATGCGACTATCTTAGGCAAGCCTAGTTGATGGGACGTCCACGATGGCTTTGGGAACCTAGATGAAAGAGCATTAGATGCGCCAAGACCCGAACATTTAATGCCTCTACGTTAAAGAAAGAGCATTAAATGCTCGAGGGGCCAATCATTTAATAATAGGGCCTCCCTCATGCAAAATAAAAGGCGCACTATCCCATGTCTGGTTACTACCTATTGCCTAGACCATCAGTGATGATGGGCTTTTGGATGTATAAATAGTCCCCAAAAACATAGTGCAAAGGTACGCAAAAATCACTCCCCAAAAGAACACCATACAATGTTTTCTTCTTCCCCTCTTTCAAAGAACTGACTTAATCATCGGAGGGAATACGCTGAAAAATACTCCGGCGCCCTTCTAACCCTTTTTCTCTGTGCTAGGAACAGTTCGTGACCTGTCGGAATCGATTGAGCAGCCCCTGAAACAATTCATCACCACTCCTTAAGCTCCCTTGGTTGTATTTTCTCTTCCTTTGCCGTTGGATCAACAACTTTCTCGACAAACTCGAGTTCATCACAGGAGAGATCTGTCTTTTTTATTTATTGTGCGAAAATCACCGCGCACAACATACAACATTTACAAGATTGTAGTGTCTGTTGTCAAAATGTTGGTCAAGATATTTCTCTAATCGATAGCTATTCTTACAATATCCACAGCGCCATTCATTTATGTCCACATGAACCTTATGCTACTCCTGATCTCGGAAGAGATCATTGTCAGAATGAAGCTTACACTTTCTTGAAATATGATATTTCTCTCGATCCGCAAATGGCATCAAACACTGCACCATATATAAAACCTCGTTGTCTTACATGTTTAATTGAACCAAGTCAGATATATGTGCCTTCTAAATTCTAAATGAAGTTCACGGTAGATACCTCTTCAATTATTTTCCAGGCTGCCCTACTTTTTTCTCTTGAACAATGAACTTCATGAATATGTTCTTGTTCTTGCTTAAGAGTTCTGCATGTTAAAACAAACTTCAGGTAACACACCCACCCTTAACCAAAAGTTATAAGATATGCAGAATCATTAGGCAGCCAAAAAACAAAACCAACTTGCTCTACCATATATGTTTTCATAATTCAATAAATAGTCAAGTGATTATGTATATAAATCTCAGTCCTCCACCTTTGGAAAAAGTTGTTTAGAACAGTGTTTTGAAAAGCTCACCTAGGCGAGAAGCGAAGCAAAGCGAGGTCCTATCGCCTTGAGCACCCCAGGTGAAACGAGTGTGACTGAAGCGAGGAAAAAGTGAGAAAAGCGAGCGCCTTGCGATTAAGCAAAAGACGAAAAATTGAAGGCCATAGTTATGTGAGACGATATTGTCTTGGATTATTTTATTTTTATTGTAGACTGTTGGATTGGGACAACTGAATTTTTTTTTTAAGATGTCCATACACCCAATTATCCCCTTATACCATAAATATAAAACCCAAACCCTAATTTTTCTCAGGATCAGATGATCGACTGCTGGCTACTGTTGCTCCTTCCTCTCTGGTTAGAGACGATCGACTGCTGGCTGCTACTGCTCCTTCCTCGCTAGTTAGAGACGATCAACTGCGAGCTGTTGCTGCTCCTTCCTTGTTGGTCCACACACAGGTTTGTCTCTTTCTTTTTTTCTTCTTTCTTTTGTTTCTCTTCTTCTTTGGCTCTTCTTTTTTTTTTTTCTGGTTCTTCTTCGTTTCTGCTTTTGTTTTTTTTTTTTTTTCTACTTCTACTTCTGCTTTTTTTTTTTTTCTACTTGTGTTTTTTATTCCTGTTTCTGCTTCTTTAATGATAAATGCTGATGATTCTGATTTTGAATGGTGCTGCTTCTTTAATGTTTGTATAACTGATGATTCGGATTTTTTGTAATGCTATTTTGTTGATAGTAGAGCTGATTTTTTGTAATGATGATTGTTGATTTTTTTGTAATCCTAATGCTAAATGCTGTAATGCTGAATGCTGATAGTGTTGTAATAATGAATGATGATAGTGTTGATTTTGTTGAATACTGAATGCTGATAGTGTTGATTTTTACTTGAATTGTGTGTGTTATATTTTTAAATATTAGGATTTGAGATATTATTAGTATTTATTTTAATTTAAATATTTAAGTTATGACTGTTATTAAGATTTGAGAAATTATTAGTATTTATTTTAATTTAAATATTTATGATTTTACTTGCATTTAAATATTTAGTATATATAAAATTAGAACTTAGATGTTTAGAAATAATTAAACTAAAATATTTACTTTTTTTTTTTGAACTGTTCACTTCACTTTGGTAAAGCGTTTCGCTTCGCATCTTGCTTAAGCTTTAGGAGTCTTGATCGTTTTGGTTTGCTTTGTGCCTTAAATAACATCGATTTAGAAGGAAATCACAAATAATTAGTGTGCGTGCAGGATCTTGCACAATATAAACACGAGAACAGATCTCTCCCGTGGTGAACACGAGTCAGTCAATCGAATGGTCAACCTTGCTGGACGGAATAGACTGTGAGGACCGGTGGTAGCCTGGAACGGTAATGGGTGACTTTTGTGGGTCACTGGGGTGGTCCTGTAAGGCTAGGAAAGATTCCTGGAATAGAGAAAAACGA